TTATAGCTGATAAAAAAGTTTATTATATTTATTATTATTATATTATTTTAATTTTATTATTTTAATTTTATTTTTTTATTGTACGAAATGACGACCATCCGATACACAAAGTTCTGAATATCCCTGACCGCCCGCGAGGAAGAGGACGAACACGTGCCACCTGGTGGTCAAATATGCAGAAAAAAAGCAAAGATCCAGAGAGACAACCTTAGTACACAGACAAGCCAGAGTAGAATTCTCTGGCGCAATTTAACAAGGAGATCCGACCCCGGCTAAACTGGGAAGAGGGGCGGACAAAGAAGAGAAGATCAAATTTTTTATTCTTCTTCTTTTCCCTGCTCATTTCCCAATCACTTGGGATCGGCGCAGTACATCTACTGTACTGCTGATAGGATTTGGCAAAAGTTTTACGACCGGCTGCCTCACGCCTGCCTGACGTCAACCCTCCTTGAGAATGCTATTGTCTCTCTTTGTCTGAATGGTATCACAGAAGTCTTGTAATATGCACTTTCGACTTTTTTGTCTTTTAAAACATTATTTATAGTATTACTTAAATTTTTAATGTTATTTTCGGATATATTTTTAAATAAATTTTGATAACACAATAAATTTTGTTTTAAAAAGAAGACCAAATTTTTTATTGTTGTTATTTTATTACCAAAAATTAATTTATTCACCACAACAATTGGTGAATAAACTACATGCACTACACAACAGAACTGTTTAATGACAGTTATTCGTACGACTCCCTCAAAACATTGTTATTATGAATTTGAAAATTTAACAAATTTAAATAATTGGATGGTGTAAGGTCGTAGTTATATTGAGGATGCAACATCATTCCCCAAAAAGCTTGATTAATTTTGTACGAGTTGCTGTAGAGATGTACAAGGCCTCGAGTTATGATGGTTGAATAAGACTCCTTTGCGATTTGCCAATTCTGGCCATTTTTCTCTGATGGCTTCTTCCAATTTTATAATTTGTTGGCAGTAAGCATCTAAATTTCTTCATTCCCTTTCATTTGCTTTCTTGGAAGCAGCTCAAAATATACAACTCCTTTGTAATCCCACCAAATTGACAGCATGATCTTTTTCTGATGCAATTCAGCCTTAGATACGCTTATGCTTGTTTATTATTTTACTTATTATACTTGGACAATGATCTTCTTGAATGATCTTCAATGAGCCGTTGTAAACAAAATTACACAGAATTTTCATTTGTACCTAAAAGTATCAACTATCTTAAAAAGAATTCTAACATTGACTTTAAAAATACTAACGAAACAAACAATGCTATCTACTTGTCCAAACTTAAGCTTAAGCGTTATCAATAAAATAGATTGGGAATATTTTTTTAACATAGGTGGGTAAATTCTATTTATATTTACTCAAATTTTCAATAATAATTATGTTATTTTTCATAAACCTCTGACGTATCATTGTCAACAAGATAACCATCTGCTACTAATTAATAAAAAAAACATCATAAGTCAACCTGCATGCCTGAGAGAAAACAACTAATAACGGGAAGATATGACGTGAAGTCCTTGGACTTGTCAGCATGGTGGTCGTGGCCTAGTCTTGATCAACTAGTGGGAAGTTAAAAAATTACGGAAGTTACAAGTGCGAGTCGGACTCGCCCACCGATGGTTCCGTACAAATATGTAGGAAATCTGTTTAACTTTAATTGTTAACTTTTTTTATTTTTTGGATTATTTCTTTATTTGTGCTGTAAGACCTTGCTTTTTGCCAAATTTCGTGATTCTAGGTCAACGGGAACTACCATATAGGTTTTCGACCCTAAACCTTAGGGTACTTCCGGTTGACCTAGAATTGTCAATTTTGGTTAAAAACAATGTCTTACAGCACAAGTAAAGGGAAGATTCCGAAAAATAAAAAAGTTGAAAATTAAGATAAATTTTGGTACTTAAATGTTTTTGCGTAAATCTAAATTTGACCATATCTTTTTATCGTGTTGACTCAGGGGACCTTGATTTTCAACCGACTTCAAAAACGAGGAGGTTCTCAATTCGACTGTATTTTTTTTTTTTTTTTTTTTTTTTTTATATTTGTTACCTCAGAACTCCGTCATTTATGAACCGATTTGGACAATTTTTGTGTTGTTTGAAAGTGTATACTTCCAGATTGGTCCCATTTAAATTTCAAAAAAAATACCACTCCTAAGGGTGGAAAAATAGCTAATGATGAATTTAACCTACTTCTAATTGTCATATTGACTTGAAACTTTGCATGTGTTTCTATTTCCGTTGATAGTACAGTGGTTCGATATTGTTGACCTGATCTAATGGTAAGGCCAGAAGGTGGATAGGTGGAACTCTTCAACGGCTAATAGTAGATACTTTGAGTTTGGGTTTATTTTGTTCGATTTGACAAGCTTAACACGTTAGAATGCCTACTTTGCTACTACTGTCTACACTAAAAAGGGAAAAATAAAAAATTTTTAACAAAAAAATAAAAACCGACTTCAAACAAAAGCACTAAAAAGTAAAAAATAACTGATTGGTAGTTTTCATTTACTATACATACCTAATCAATATTTTCGAAGTCGGTGTGCTTTGGCTACCTCTTAATCAAATCAATCAAAGCCTACCTATTAAATACATACCTAACCAAATATTTTCGAAATCGGTGCCAGCCCATACAAAGCAAAGCACACTGACTTCGAAAATATTTGATTAGGTATGTATAGTAAATGAAAACTACCAATCAGTTATTTTTTACTTTTTAGTGCTTTTGTTTGAAGTCTGTTTTTATTTTTTTGTTAAAAAGTTTTTATTGTACACCTAATAGGGACTATAGACCTCAGTATTTGGTATAAATTTCCACTTGCTAGGTCCACCCGTTCCTAAGAAAATCGGTGGTGACACACGGATAGACGAACAAAAGAATGATCTTATAAGGGTTCTTTTTTTTACCTTTTGAGGTACGGAACCCTAAAAAGACAATACATATGAAAATAAAGTCAATTTACGATAAGTATAGTCGACGAAACACGAATCAAACACGTATCATCTCATTGAAAGTCAATTGTAATGTTAAAGAGTGATCGATAGGTAATAAATATGTTACAGGCTAGACACTTAAAGATAATGCTTTGATAATGTCCATGTTCTTATTGTAATCTACAATTGAATTGTTCGATTATCATTTATTTTCTTCGGATATCTATGTAGATATTATAACAGTGGATGGTTTGGCTCAGTTTGTAGTGAACCTACTTGCGGTACCAGCAGTTGTGGGTTCGAATCTCGCTGAGGGTATTCATTTGTGTGATTTGTACTCCAGTTATGGGTTTATATATATATATGTATTTACACACAGACATATATATATATATATATATATATATATATATGTAGTTTATCAAGTATACGGTTACCGATATCCATAACACAAGTCTATCACAAGCTTACCATGGAACTAGATGGTGCTGTGTGTTAATATCCCAACATATTTATTATTATTTTTACGTTTATCTATACGAGTAGTAAGCCGTTATTAAAGATTTCTTATTTAATGAATTATTTTTTAATTACTGAGCAAAACTTATTATTCCGTAACGGAATATTTTGCAGATGTAAAAGTGTGGTACTAATTTCTTGTTAGGTCTTAAGTAGGATGAATTGAGAATTATTGCATTGATTTTTTGCATTTCTTTGTATTTTTATATTTTTGTATTTTTTTTGTATTTTTTTTTCTCGCTGGTTCTTCTCAAATGAACTGCCTTTAAATGCGGTTGTTGACTTTTTTTTTTACGTTGGGACATTAACACACAGCACCATCTAGTTCCATGGTAAGCTACGAGGCTTGTGTTATGGATACCAGATAGTTGATACACTACATATATAACTTTAAATACATACATATTATAAATATAAACACCCATGACTGGAGTACAAACCTTCGTCATCACACAAATGAATGCCCCCAGCGGGACTCGAACCCGCGACCGTTGGCACAGAAAGTCACTACAAACTGAGCCAAACGTGTCGTCAAACACTTATATACCGACATTAAATTTAAATTTTAAAAATGATGATTCAAATGTACTTTTAAAAGTCAAGTCAAGTTATTGATAAGGATTAAAAAAAACATACGTAAAACGTTTTGAAGTCGGAAAAAAACATAAGTTATCACGTATCAGATATATGTAAATTTGTGCATGTAATTGTTATTTATTGTTTTTACACACTGTTGTTATTTTCAATACCTATGTACGGTGACTTAGAAATATTTATTGATAAGCCTTACAACTATTTATAGATATTATAGTATTTTAACAATAACAATTTATTCGATGAGTCAAAGAAATATCTCTATTGAAACACCTCGTCTTGAATTTTCAATATTATCTAACACAATTTATTACTAAATTGCTCCGCCTGCGTTCAGATAACCAAATTCTTAAGTTTTATATATTAGTATACTCTTACATTGCAGTTTTTGTTACAGGCAAAAATTCTTAAAACTATAGATTCGGCCTCTGTATCGATAATAATTTCTATTTCGATAATATTTTCCAAAAAATATTTAATGTACAGATTCGGATTTGTTACAATTTTATTATATGTATAGATTATTATAATTTTTTACCGAACGTCATTCGTCTACCACCAACTGGAAAGAAACTCAGTGCCTTTAAAATGAAGTTATACATATTATGTACTACATATGTTTAAACGGTTAGTATAGATTTCTCAGAGATGAGATGTTTTCCCGCAGTAAAAAGTATCCTATATGTTGACCCGGATAAAGAGCTATCACCATACCAAATTTCATCAAAATCCCTCCAGTGGTTTTACCGTGACGCAGTCACAGATAGAGAGACAAAAATTCTAAAAACTAAAGATTGGGCCTCTGTATCGATAATAATGTCTATTTCAATAAGATTTTCTATAAAATATTTAATGTACAGATTCGACTCAGTTAGAATTTTACTATACGACTATGTATAGGCGTAACACCACTCGTTGTATGTCATAGGTGAAAAAGGGAGAAAAAATAACATAAATAGAGTTCATCAGATATATAATTATCATTTGGTGGGTCAATAGATCTATTGCGTATAACATGTTTGTAATAGCGAGCGGAGTCGCGCGGTGTGCGAGTGCGACTCGGAGATGTGAAGTCCACTTCGTACAGTCCAAATTTATACCTGTAAAAAATATTATTATCCATATATTCTATCTTATAGTCTAAGAAAACCTAGCTTTTTCAAAGACCTGTGAGTCCATCCCGCACCTGGCCAGTGTAGTGGGTTGATTCCCTGCATTGAGAGAGGTCCGTGCTCAGTGGGACTTAAAATGGGCTAAATACATAGATTCTTATTTTAATTAAAGTGATATGTATACACATCCTTTTCTACACGTGACGACGACTGACGACACGTTTGGCTCAGTTTGTAGTGACCCTACTTGTTGTGCCAGCGATCGCAGGTTCGAATCATTTGCATGATGAGCACGAATGTTTGTACTCCAGTCATGGGTGTAAACACCCATTTAGTATTTAAATTTATATATATATATATATATATATATATATATATATATATATATATATGTAGTGTATCAACTATCTGGTATCCATAGCACAAGCCTCGTAGCTTATCATGAACTAGATGGTGCTATGTGTTAATGTCCCAACATATTTATTTATTTATGGGAATTAAATTCAATCTTAACAACACTGTATGTAAAGATGTGAAATGACGTTAGTAATAATAAACACTCACTTATATCCTACCATCCATTCATAGACGTCCATTAAAGACCACACTGTGAATCCTGTCACATTAACCTTGTCCTCGTAAATCGCTAATAATACCTGGGAAAAGAAAGTGTTAAAATATAGGACTATTATTAAGTGAATTTTTGTATGTATGTACATGTATATTACGCTGTTCCGCAAAAATGGTTATACTAATTTGGATTAATTTAATATATAGATAGACTTTTAACGTTGGGAAATGCATTTATGCACGAAGTGTGGGACTCACCGGCAAAGTCAGTACTACCCACTAAAACCCAACAAAGCCTTCCCCCGTCTTAATGGGGCGTCGCAGGATCGCTTACACATTCAACTACGACGCCCCGACGGCAGATCTGCCGAGGCAGACTACAACGACCATGGGGTTGCTCCAAAGTCCACTCTGCTATCAGAGAAGTACCAGGAGCAACCCGCATGGAACACCGCCCTCCGAAGAGGGCCACCTCCCACCTCCAAACGAAGTGGGCCACCTCCCTGTGCGTTTCTTGGCTTCGCGCCCGGCTGTATTGCCGGGCACTACTGAGCCCCCCCCCCACCACAACAAGGTGAACGCACTTTGGGGGGGAGATAGACTATGACCTAGAGTAACGCATGGGCTATGGTTATTAAAAAAATGAAATATATAATAATAAATACATAATATCTTTAATATATAAAAACTAGCGAGGGAACTAGAGACGCACCCGAGCCAAGCGAGTTTTGAATGGTTTAGAAATGCTTAAAAGACAAACGTCCAAAGAAAAAATCTTTTTTGGGCCGGAATAATCTATGTACCAGAGTTTCATCAAAATCGGATCAATGGTTTAGAAACGCATAAAAGATAAACATATGAACATTATATAAATAAGACATAAGAATATGATAACACAATTACGTACCTGTTCTAAATGTTTTTTAAAAAAGCTGACTCTATCCTGATCGTGTAAACTGGATGCCGAAGTAGCGTAACCGTTTTCAAAAATAACAATTTCTATATCCCCAAACGATTTCTTTATCCAGGATAGCATACTTCGTAATCCTTCTGGGTGTTGCTGAATTTTGAATTAAAAATAAAATAAATAAAAAATCGGTCAACTGGGAGTCGGACTCGACACGGAGGGTTCCGTACCACAAACGTTTTTTTTCGTTTGCGAGGCAGCCTATTTGAAATAACCCATCTTTTTAAATAAAACTGTCTTTTCGGATTTTTTCGCGGATTCATTTGGATTTTTGGTTCCCGACGTTTCAAATGCTTTACAGCAATCATGGTCACGGGAGAGACTGAGGTGTTACATGTCTCGAAGGTATAGTTGTTACAGACTGCCTACCCACAAATAACAAAATAACAATTGCACCAATTACCTTACAATATTTTTTAACTTAAAACATTTTTATAATTTTAATTAGTTTTATAATTGAGTATGGAATATTATTTATTTAATTTTTGCTGTAATTCTTATAATTAATACAATTTTAAAAATATTAATTAGTAATCTATATTTAGTGTTGCCATTATTATATTTATAACCATAAAGAAAAATATAAACTATAGTATTAATTATTTAAGCCATATAATTGTTCTATGTGTAATTTAAAAAGTTAAAATTAATGAAGGATAATAATTTTAATTTAGTTTGCTATTATTTAAAAAGACAATTACTAAGCAACACTATTACTATATTATACTTTTACAAATGAAAATTGATAAATATTAATCTGATATATGTCATTTTGATCAACACAGTAAGAACTTACTACATCTACCTGTCTGTGATATACAGGTCAAAAAACCTATTACATTAGGGACCTATGCACACAGATACATACATAGAGAACACGCGTGTTCTGAACGCGCGTTTTCGGCGCGTATTCTGTACTGAAAAGCTTAAAAGGACTTACACAATGTTTCAAAACCGAACTGTGAACGTCCATCATTTGAACATATTCTGTTGATAAACTTGAAAAATACAGATTACTTTAGTTCGTATCGATGCAAACGCGTTAGAAGCTAGATGGATGTTTGTTACTCTTTCACACAAAAACTACTAAACAGCTTAAGCATCAGAGTAATAAATAATTTTAGAAGATCCACAGATTATTGCACGTTCAAATAACAAACTAACAAACTCTTTACCTTTATATATAATTATCAATATAGATTAGCGATACTACAACATATTTTACAAGCTCTAACAATTTGTTTTGCAGATATTGTGGTACACATCTACTTACATCCAGATGGTAAGCACAGCTCTTCTTCCAAGAAGGATCTGAATCCAAAATGACATTTAACTCTGGTATGTCTTCGAGGATTGTATTATTTTCAAAATTATGCTCTTTCGCTGTTCGTACTATTTTGCTTGTATAATAGTTCATGCCGATGAAATCTCCTGTGCCTGTAATCAATAGTTTAAATATTGTTTACACAAGTTTTAAACTTGTTTTTTTTTTTGTAAGATATTGATGACACGTTTGGCTCAGTTTGTAGTGACCTACTTTGCTGTGCCAGCGGTCGCGGATTCGAATCCCACAGGAGGCATTCATTTGTGTGATGAGCACGAAGGTTTGTACTCCAGTCATGGGTGTTTATGTTTATAATATGTATGTATTTAAAGTTATATATGTGTAGTGTATCAACTATCTGGTATCCATAACACAAGCCTCTTAGCTTACCATGGAACTAGATGATGCTGTGTGGTAATGTCCCAACATGTTTATTTATATATTTATATTTAATTGTAGTGTAGTAAAAAAATATATTAAAGGACTAAAACACGCAAACACACAGACAAAAACACAGTGTGTGTTTATTCCCGATTAAGCACGAAAGGAGTTAAAATGTGATTTTTTTTAAATAACGACATGATTATAGCAAATATACAACTATAATAATGTGGAGTTGTTAATAGATACATTATAAAATACTTAGCGCAAGATACAATAGGAAAATTTATTGGAAATGTAACTTATCCATATCTTTGCGACTTAAATTTTATAAAAATATTATTGATATTTGATTAATTTTATTAGAGCCTATCTACAAATAAACTGATAGTGCCATACATACAATAAGCTGGCTATAATTGCCAAATATATGTAAGCGAACTATTTCAGAACGACTGCACGCACCTATTTGGCTAGTTCTTTTTTTGTTGTGTTTATAATTATCAGAAAAATTTGGGCGAAAGAAATATTTAAAAAATTGTATGGAAAAGTGAAAAATTTAGGTTAAAAAATAAAACAAAGTTCACAGATTGACGTTCAGTTGTTCAGTTTCATCATCGTGACAACAATATTTAAAAGGAAATTGACAGTTTTGTAAAAATGTAAGATAATTATATTTATCTATATAGGAAAAGTACCAATTATGGAATACGTTCCTAATATGGAACACCATAATATTTCTAAAACTAAGCGCCACGAATATTCTAGACGTATGTCATAGTATCCCTCTCGCTACCCGCGTTCGACGGCCAGTGGGAGTGTGGCTTTTGGCAGCACTAGATGCGAGTAAGAGTGCGCGACACTGTTGACGAAACATCCATTGGATATTTACGTAAGCTTTACGTATATGTTCTCTTATTATTCTTACATGAATATTTCGATATAAGTTGGTGAGTATCTAATCGAAGTATGTAGTTTTTAAATGGTATTGTTATTTTATGAATATTTAATAATAAAAAAAAGTTATATTTTTTTCCTCCCGCTATCATATTGTTCGTAATATGGAATATCGTCGAGTTCCTAATATGGAATACTAGTTCATATTAGGATCTCAACGTAAGTAAGTTTTTAATGTGGTGACTTATTACTATTTTTATCTTTTACAAATATATTCATGATCAACATGGATCCGCCAGTAAAAAACCGAAAAGCCTGAAACAAAACCAATATGGAAGCGGTGAAAACCCAAACAATGGGTTATAAGAGAGCTGCACATGTCTTTCATATAGCAACAGCCATCATCGAGAGAGGCTGTCAGAAAAACAAGCGAATGTAGAAACCAGTGTTGAAGTCTGAATCATCTTCTGATAGAAATACGATCTTTATCTAATGGTTATAGTGACGATAAGCCCGCAGTTACTCAACCGTACGATCCAAATGCTGACGCTGGGTGCATTTATTGCTCTGTTTTTTTCAGTGAAGACAAAAAGGGAGAAGAGTGGATTCGGTGCATTGCCTGTAGACAGTGGTGTCACGTTGCGTGGTCCGGATCAGAATATGCAGATTTTATTTGTGATTTTTGCTTGCAGGGTTGACTTTATTATTTTGTTTTGATTAACGAGACGTGATCCTATTATGGAATAGGGTATTCCATAATAGGATCACATTTTTGAGAAGCAATTTTTTGGTTGATTTATTTTAGTTAATAATATTACGGAAAGTGTTTATTATTTGTTGATTTCATTATTACTTTTCAAGAGTAATTACGACTGCATTTAATTGTAAACCATTAAACTGATTAAAATAAAACTTTTGTACTGATTTTTTTAGAATTTGTTTATGTATTCCATATTCGGCCCTTCTCCTATACTAATATTCTATAGCGGTAAAGTTTGTGAGTTTGTGAGGTTGTAGGGGGTAATCTCTGGATCTATTGAACCGATTTATGAAATTTGATAAGAAAATTGTTTGAGACTCTGGGAAGGACATAGGATACTTTTTATCCCTGAAATCATCCCTTAGGGAAGTGAAAATGGGGATGAAAGTTTTTTGGGAAGCAAGCTAGGGACAAACCCGAGCGAAGCTAGGATGAACAAGGTATTAAAATAATAAAATCAGAAAAAAACTAAAAACAAAGTGGCAATTTAAGTAGATAAGCTAAATTCTGTATTGTTTGTTCAAAATTCTTGTCTCAGTAGATATGGGTTAAATGATTGGTGTGATAATAATAAATAAATAAATATACTTTTTTTTGGGCGGAACCCTAATTCTTTTTCTGATATAAAAGTAGCCTAAGTTACTCCTTCATCATCTATCTGCCAGTTAAAGTCCCGTCAAAATCAGTTCAGCCGTTACGGAGATTAGCCGAAACAAACAAACAGACAGACAAAAATTTATTACAAACAGACATTTCAATTTTATTTGTTCGTATAGATAGTAAATATTACCAAATAAATTACAACAATAAAATATTATTCTGCCAAAAATTTTAACAAAAAGGCATACCCCTAACGAATTCCTTTTCCTCATCAGTAAAAGCTGGTAATCTCGATTGTCGATAGCCTTTCTTCTTACTATTCTGTGCCAGTAGATTTTCAATAGCCGACGGCCATCCGCCCGTTTTTGAATATATCGGATAAGTAAACAGTCCTGACTGAAATATCCGATGACAAGAAAATATATCAGTAGATTAAATATTTTAAATGAATAAATTTGTAAATAATTTTCATCTTCATATATCTATTCCAAATATTTCATTACAGCTCTAAAAATATTCAGTATTAACTTTAGACAATAGAGAATTTGACCTTTTTTGTGTTAATTATAAAAACTAAAATAAAATATAACAAAAATATTAAATATCTCAACAAATAAAAAAGTTATGAAACTTTAAAGTTGCGCTTGTAAGGATAATCTCGTGACGTCACACGACCTGAACGACCGAAATTTATATTAATTTATCAGTCATTTATTGATAGATTTCAAATATTTTTTACTGATTTATTTGTTTTGACCTATATTATAACTCTATTGCGTTAAACATGATATTATCAATATCATGAAACTTCTCCATTTTATATCGAATATTTTTAATAGCTCCAACCCGTCCACCACGGACGGGAAATCTTAAAAAATTAAAATATTTAAAAAAATTACCGACTTCAATATATATATATATATATATATATATATATATATATATATATATATAATACCTTTTGGTATTCGGTCAAAATTTATTTTTGTGTATGTGTTATATAAAGCATATATTTAAAAAAACTTACGTAAAACTCAACTGCAAGCTGCGTAACTAATTCGTCTTCTTTCGTCGCTGGTTTCAAATCAACTAATAAATTTGTCATACCAACACGACCTGTAGTGAACAAAAAGATGTAAATTATTCAAATAATTACTCTGAAATAAAAAATGTACAGACTTCAAAAACACCTTTGAAAGAATTTTAGGAGTAAAGAAATATCTCTTAAAATTCATATAAGAAATATTCTACGCCTAACATATTTTAAACTGGTTTCAAATAAAAAAGTTAAATAATATAATGAAAAAGTCAATAGAAAAGTAAAAATATTTCGATAATAAGTAATTTTTTACTTTTTTAATTTTTTTTTGAAGTCGGTTAATAAGATATGATAGAAGAGATAACTAAATAAGTTTAGACTATTTACATTTACTGTCCTTTAATCAGCTTACATAATACATATTTGTACCTTTAAATTTCTTTTTAAACTCTTCATCGTACACTCTCCAAGCTTTTGCGTGAGCTATCATGGAGTTTTTAATGCACTGAAAGTTTCCAATATCATAGTCTGCTGGACCTGTACCTAATTCTGTACTGTATTCTATAAGACATAAGAGAAAAGGCTCGTTCAGAGTAATCCAAGTCTTGACTCTATCACCAAACAATGTGAACAGAACCCTCGAATAATCGGCAAACCAGTCAGAAATTAAAGGGTTTGCCCAGCCACCTAATAAACGAAAAAATATAATTAAAAAAATTGATAAAAAAGACGCATGGATACTTTTTAACACTTTTGAATTATTTAAAAGTAGTTAGCAATAGTAAATTTCTGTCACGGATGCCATTAAATTTATAATATGTATGTATTTAAAGTTATATAATTTGTGTAGAGTATCAGGTGCGGGACCGACTGTTTAACGTGCTCTTCTAGGCACATTGGTATTAACAAATACAACTACCCAACTCCAGGCTACTACTAAGGATTTCTTAGCAGAAAATCTGGTTCACCTGACTCGAGACTAGAATCCAGGATTCCCAATCAGGATTTCAAAGCTAGCCAGTAGGTAAACGAAGCATTCAATCTATAATTTACTAGCGACTCACCCTCGATTCGGTCGGGTTTGTCCCTAGCCTGCTTCCCAATATAAACTTTCATTCCCATTTTCACTTCCTTAAAGAATGATTTCCGGGATAAAAGTATCCATGTCCTTCCCAAGGTCTCAAACTACTCCTACCAAATTTCATCTAAATCGGTTCTGTAGATCCAGAGATTATCTCCTACAACCTCACAAACTTACAAACTCACAAACTTTACCTATCTTTATAATATTAGTACAGATAAATAAAATAGGTAACACACCCATATTTTGAAATCTCTGCGGTAAATCCCAATGATACATCGTGACAACTGGTTCAATACCGTTTTCTAATAAAGCATCAATAAGATTACTGTAATATCTATAACCGCTCTTGCTTATATATTCTGGGGTGCCTCTAGGTAGAATTCTAGTCCATGATATTGAAAATCTGAAAAAAAGTGATAATTAAAAAGCATTTATAAATCTATATGTATAAAAATTGATGTGTATGTATGATTCCTATGGACTCCAAAACGGCTGCAGTGATTTTGATGAAATTTTCAGGCAATCTTCAGATTAGCCCAGCGGTGATCCTGTGAACTTTAGCAGCGACCGGAAGTTTGTACACGGGCCAAGACGTGATTCCCCATACAAACTTTCATCACCATTTTCACCCCTTTAAGGCATGATTTCCGGTATAAAAACTATTCTATCTATAACTATTCTATTTAGGAAGACCTAAGGTCTCAAACTATCTTTTAACTAAATTTCACCTAAATCGGTTTTGTAGTTCCAGAGGTTACTTCCTACAAACAAATTCACAAACTTTACCTCTTTATAATATTAGTATTAGATTTTTAACTACCAAAGGTTGACTGGAAGAGATCTCTTCTAGAGATAAGTCCACATTTGCAAGCAAAATAATTCGATTTTAATTAAAGAATAATAAATAATCTACATAAAATAAAACTAGCAGATCCGGCCACGCGTTGCTGTGGCACACATATGAAAATCGTTAATTTGGTAATAAAAAAAGAAAATAATCGGGAAACTCACAAACTTTACCTTTTTACAATATTAGTATAGATAGATAATACTTACCTACTTTTCTATACCTATGTACATTGTACATATATGAAATCTATTCTATATTTACCGTTCAAACGTACCGCGAAGGTGATTCGCTAGTAGTAGGTACTTAAAATAGTATGTTTGTACTTACCTATAAAAGTCCAGACCTAAATCTGAAATGATCTTTACATCTTCCTTCCATAAGTTATAGGAATCGCAAGCGATATCCCCATTGCTAGTCTCAGTCGAGTTCGGACGAATGTGGCAATATGTATCCCATATGCTGGGCGATTTATCTACATTTTCAAGATATTTTTCACTAAATAAATTATCATCAAAATATCTATACATAGTATAAAATGAAGTCGCTTCCGCTGTCTATTCGCTTAGATCTTTTAAACTACTCTACGGATTTTAATGCAGTTTTCATCAATAGATAGAGTGATTCAAGAGAACGGTTTATATGTATATAATACGTGCATATTATAGTACAGAAAAGCCAAGAAATTTAAAGATTTGTATGTCATACTAACCGTTAAAACGTACATAGGGATTAACCCGAGCGAAGCGAGGGTGAGCACATACATAAAAATAAAACCAAAAATTCCAACAAATTGAGAATATTGTGGAAGTCGGTTAAAAATATGAATGATTACCGTACACTAAAGAGCCTCTCCACCACAATAAGGCGAGCACGTATCAGTAGATTATTATATGATACAGTCATAAAACAGTACATAAAATATGTACCTTGTTCATTAAAAAATAGTAATGAAAATCAGTTTGCATTTGTCAAAGACATCAAAAATTTTCACCCGCATCGAGTTTGCCCTCTATTTTGAATTTGGTCAATATGCCATTAATAGTTTAGGGTAAAAGCCGGATAGTTGCCCTACTTTTTAGAAAATCTCCAATTACATAAAAAATAAGTATCTACTTACAATATGCCCCATGTATAATAAAACATTGGTTTTTAATCTTTCATTGTGACCTATTTTTTTAAACACAATGAATATTGTTTTCCAGTAAATCCTGTTTTATTTGACCTCTACAAAAGGGGATAGTTGCCCTCTGTGGCGGATAGTTGCCTTATGTTCAAAATGCTTTGGGGGATACTTGCCTAATTCAGGGATAGAAGACTCATCATGAAATTTTTGCAATTTTTTTGGATTTAAACAAATTTATGTAAATTTAATCAACCATTGTTTATTATTAACATCAATTAATTAAGTAGTAGGTATTTACTAATCGACTCAATACAACTTTTAAAATACAAATAAAATCTCCAAAATTTAAGTTATAAATAATAATTAACTTTAAAGATAAAAACAATACTATGGTAATCAACTTTGACACAAATATTAAAATTAGTGGATAGATTTTCATTATATAACACCAAAAGCAATTTAAAAATCATCATCAATTACGGACTCATAACTTTTAATTCTCCACATCTCACACAATATTCTTTGAATGATGAACGAGTTTCCTGGAAATACAATCAAGTATGATTTGGATTTAGTATTATTGTAATTTTTTAAATATTTACAATAATCATCAACTGAAACTTTATCATTCGCTTTTTTATTTTTGTATTAATGTTAATAACTTTTACTGTCTTTTTAGTCTCTCTTATCATCTTTAATTTCTTAATTCTTTTTTTGTACTCCTTTAGTAGCTTTGTCTTTGGCTATTTTTGTATTTATAATGCTTTTTTCATTTTCACTCTCAGAGCTATAAGTTTGTTATTTGTCATCCTTAAAGCTCTTTCTCCACTCTGTTTAATTAAATCTATGTACGTATGTATGTATGTTTGTATATATGTATATTTATATTATAATTGATGTTTGTAGTCTGTACCTACACCTCACCGCATTATTATTTTTATATTTTCTCACGCTTGAGGGTTTCTGGTAGAAATCTCTTAAAGAGATAAGTCATCCTTTGTACACATGGCATCTGTTTTAACTTGTATGTTTTTTTTCTGGTACATAAATAAATAAATAAAAATAAATCTATGTTTGCAAATTCTGTTTCACTGCGAGAGAAATCATCATAACTTATGATCTTTTACTTTCGTTTCGACCTCTTTTCTTCATAATTATCATCTCGTTATCAGCTGATTTATTTTCTACTGTCTTAAAATAGTTTCATTTCGTTGTCTCCATTCTATTTCTTTTTGTAATGTTTATTTCTTTTTCTTTATCTTATTTTTCGCCTACCTACAACACTAATTGTTCTTAGGGCAACTATCCGTAAAATTATATGGGGCGACTATCCTTTTCGATAGGGATACTTGCCCTTATATTTTGAAAAATAAATAAATATTATTCGACAGTTTAAAGTAATAGGTAGTGTAACTTAAGCTTCAGTACACGTGTAGAAGCAAAAAGTTGACTGAATCAACAACTGTTAAAAAAAATATTCAATAGAAAATACACACGAATATAATTTCAACGCTCGTCAATGTCCTGCCGCGGAAGATTTTCGCTCACACGGACAAAACACGTTTACCTAGTCCCACTACTGGCATCGTCCTAAGGTCTGTGGAAGAGGCGCTTCAAATTACAGAAGAGCGCTAACATCAGGGACATCTCTAATATAGCGTATTGAAAACCGGGGCATGTATTCAACTGGGGCGACTATCCGGGTTTTACCCTATATAAAAAAATATTATTTACCATCGGCATTCCAGCCGCCTTCAACTTGGTAAGCCGAAGTTGCAGCTCCGAATTTAAAATGCGAAGGAAATTTTAATTGGCTTCCGGCCCAAATACCATTTACTGTTACACTATAAATTAAAAAAAAAAACAAAAATTAAAAGTTAAACGCTTACAATATCTAAACTAGGTAAACACTTTTTACAACGTTTTTTTTTAAATAAAATTGTAAAAATTGTAAATCAGTAAAAATAAGTACCAAGCAAGTAGCACTACCGACGCCTTCATAGTTGAAAGTAAATAGTTTCTTTACAATAACAATCTATTTATTTGCTTGAGATTTAAACCGTATATGAATTTGTTTTATTTATCAAGACTTGTATAAACTTTCATTACGTCTCTAACTGTAAATATTTTTTTTATTTACAGCTTCTTAATAGGCAGTTAGACGATTGAAGTTTTATATAAAAAATTGTGCCAAGTTAATTTTTAACCGACGAAAAAATGGAGGAGGTTCTCAATTCGACAACTTTTTTTATGTTTGACTACGCGTAACTTTGTACAGTGTAGTCCAATTTCGATGATTCTTTTTTATTGGTTTGGGTTTATCTCAAAGTTGGTCTCATTTAAATTCTATAAAGAAATCTGTTCTAAAAATGGAAAAATAAAAACTATTTAAAAAACAAAACTGAATTAAAAAAAACATACACAAAAAGTAAAGAATAACTGATTGGTAGTTTCTATTTACTATAGAATCAGATATTTTGGAAGTCGGTGCCAGCCGATACAAATCAAAGCACTACCGATTAGGTATCTACATGTATATTAAATGAAAACTACCAATCAGTTATTTTTTACTGTTTAGTGTTTTTTGAAGTCAGTTTTCTTTTTTTGAAAAAAGTTTTTATTTATATATATTTATGAATACTTTATGCTTCTTAAGAAACTTCATTGAACCAACACCACTTGAACACGAAAAAAAAATTCTAGTCATTCATATTGGCACTGAAAATAAGCCAGTTAGATTTTTTATAATTTTAGTATATAACTATAAACACTAGCGTTATCAAGACGTACATTTATTCAAAATTTGTTAAGTCATTTAGTAATTACAGATCAAATACATAAGCCTCCTAATACAGCGAAAGTACCGTTGCGAAGCTGAGATAAGATAACTACAGTAAATGAAGACCCGCTATAGTGCTTCTGCTTTTATTTTAGAAGTGACCCATATTTCGTTAAATTTAGATATTGAAAAATACTTGTCTCATTAATTTTATTATTCAACCTTCATCATATAACTTAATGTTATTGACTGACTTTACGATTTACGCCATATGTCATAACCTTGAGTTCGGTGTACATCTGGGGGCACGGCAGTGCCCCCGCCACGACGAGCCAAGCGAAGCGCAATTGCACTACCTACCTTTTCTCGAAGCGCTTCGTCGTTTTATTGAACCCTCATAAATTGAGTATGGATTATACCAGAAAAACAAAATTCTCGAGATATAATTTCAATAGTAGACTAATTAAACATGTAAAGTTTCAATTACATAGCTCTTATACTTTAGACTTTGTTGATATCTAAGAAATTCCGATTTTGTCATTGACTCACTGATGATCATCAAAATTCTTTGGGTACTTTCTGAAGTCCTAGAAAGCTGAAATTTAGTATATAACTACACTAATACTTTAGTAGAAAACAACTAAAAAAAATTAAAAATTGGATCTTTTACCCCCCAACCCCTTTTTTTTTTTTTTTTTTTTTTTTTAATGTTGGGAAATGCATTTACGCACGACGTGTGGGACTCACCGGCGTAATACAGCCAGTACTACCCACTAAAACCCAACAAAACCTTCCCCCGTCTTAATGGGGCGTCGCAGGATCGCTTACGCATTCAACTACGACGCCCCGACGGCAGGTCTGCCGAAGCAGACCACCACAACCATGGGGTTGCTCCACAGTCCACTCTGCTATCAGAGAAGTACCAGGAGCAACCCGCATGGTACACCGCCCCCCCGAAGAGGGCCACCTCCCACCGCCCACCGAAGTGGGCAACCTCCCTGTGCGTTTCTTAGCTTCGCGCCCGGTTGGATTGCCGGGCACTACTGAGCCCCCCCACCACGACAAGGTGAACGCACGTTGGGGGGGACCCCCCAACCCCTTAAACTAGAGGATGGAAGTTCGTATGAGACTTCCGAAAATTTTGATGCTAGAGGTCTGAAAATTCATATAGGGACTCCTTGTTATAAATAATAAAACTTAAAAAAAACGACTTTCAGGCACTAAAATGTAAAATATAACCAAACGGGGGTTTTCATTTAGAATAGATACCTAATCAGATATTTTCGAAGTCGGAGCAAGGCAAATCTAATACCTATATTTCGATACGTGAAATAGGTACATCACAAATTGATGTATAATATTTTAATTAAGTATAATTAGAGTTCATACCTTATCATATTTACCTATTTAACATTCATATCTTAAAATATTGTCGGCTGGCACCGACTTCGAAAATATCTGATAAGGTATCTAACTATTCTTAATGAAAACCCCCGTTTAGTAATTATTTAAATTTTAGTGCCTACAAGTCGGGTTTTTTTAAGTTTTTATTTTCCATTTTTAATATACACGCAATAAGCGGTTAATTTGTAAGAAGAAAGTTTTTTAATAACATAATAAACAAAAAAATAAAGATTCCGACGAATTGAGAACCTCCTCCTTGTTGGAACTGGGTTAAAATGCATATTACAGGATTTTAGTAAACACTTACAAAAAGAGGTGAAATCCCATCAAAAACATTTTCTTGTAAAATGCTGCCAAGACGAGACCATAAGGCTCGCACTGTCAAAAAGTTATCGTATTTCATGTAGAGCCAAGCTTCTAACTCTACACGCCCTAACTCTACAAGGTCTAACTTCACAAACTACACCTTAGTCAAAATATGTGGCTTGGCCGTTTCGCTACCATCACGTAATGTGGGCGTAATAAAAACATAATCTACTTAGTTTGTATAGGTATGCTAATTACCGGGGTCCATAAGACGTAAAAATCGAGTTATTGCGCTTTTTTTTTATGACTACCGTCCTCGAGAGTATATGACATCAGTTTTGAAGTTGATTTTAAAGTTTTAAATAAAATAAAAAATATAATACCTTACAGTGCTTCTACTGAATGAATATACGTTTTTATATAACAAAAAATAAACAATTAAGTAGTAAATTTATTATGTTTTGTTTTGACTTGATAACATTTTATAGGAGGTTCTTACTTTGTTTTTAGGGATCCGTCACTAAAAGGCAAAAACTTTTTTTTATTTCAGCCAATAGTCGCCGAGTCATAAAGCCCTTGTAGCCGAAAACGTTGTTTTTACCTACTTTTAAAATATATTCAACTATTAAGTACTACGTACAGTTCAGCCGCAAAAAAACATAATTTACATAGATTTTTTTTTAAATATACCTTATTTATCCTGTAAGAGAATGAATATTATATGTAGATGGATAAATGTATGTACCTAGCCTTTTTTAAAGTCCCACTGCTGGGCACGGGCCTCCCTTCAGTACGAGGGGGATCAGGCCATAGTCCACCACGCTGGCCAAGTGCGGGTTGGCGGGCTTCACATGCCTTTTGAAAACTTACTAGGTTTTCTCAGTAATGCAGGTTTCCTCACGATATTTTCCTTCACCGTAAGACAAGTGCTAATTATGTTAGAAATGATTCGCATGTGAAAATGTCAGAGGTGCGAGACCCGGGATTTGTACCCGCTTCACTCAGTTTCCTAAGCGTCGCGCTCGCTGGACTACAACTGCCTTATATAAGAAAGATAGATAAGTATTTTATTGTAATTTTAAACATAACAATCTATGTACGTAAGATACAACATAATACATTATATGACTGGCACTTATCTTAATTTTAAAATATGACACTGAATATTGTCTAAATTGTTTGTATTATAATATGAATATTGTATAAATTATAATATTTATTCAATTATGAATGGTTTTGAAATATTTATCATGACGTATTCGTATTAGCAATTAAGGCTTATTAGCGTCTGTCAATCCAGCCGGGGCGTAAAGCCAAGAAACGTACAGGGAGATGGCCCACCTCGGTGGGCGGTGTACCATGCGGGTTGCTCCAGGTACTTCTTTGATAACTGGCTGTGGGAGCAACCCTTTGGTTGTGTGGTCTGCTTCGGCTGACATGCTGTCGGGGCGTCATAGTTGAGTACGTAATCGACCCTGCGATGTCCCATTAAAACGGGAGAGGTTCTTTTGGGTTTATGGGTAGTACTGGCTTCTCTAGACAGTGAGTCTCACATAACCACCCGTATGTATGCAGATACATACCTATGTACTTATGTAAGTACCTACATGCATTTCCCGACAAAAAAATAAATAAAGACGTGCAACGTATGTTATGCATTAAAATAATAAAATTTTTGTAGGAAAATATAATTACTATCAACAACAATATCAAGTGTTTAATTCTAACATTTACGACAAGCTTTTTTCTCAAGTGTAAAATAAAATAAGCCGTTAAGATATTATATTTCGTTTAGTTAAACCTTGCAAGGCCATTTTGGAAGAATTCAATAAAACTTAAATTTAATAAATAATCATGAACTCTGCAATAAAATAAAATGTTTTATAAGTTACTTAATAAAACAATGTATTACTTAATAATTTGTTTGTTTCATTTATCCAATAAATAAAAGAATAATAAGTATTTATTTGTAGAGTGGCCCTACATGGTCGACGGGCCACTTTATTACGATTCTATGACATTAGAATTTTTAGCATTTCAATTTATTTTTTGTTTTATCGGAATGAAACTTTTTATGTACACGTTGTTTGGATGACAATATTATAATTTCGTATCTTGGACCCGAGCTAGTGATGACGCTAGGTGTGGAAGGTAGAAGAAAGGGACTCTTCAGTGGCACTAGTAAGCCCTACAAGTTTAAGCACAAATGATTTGAAGTATGTTTTTTTGTTTTATGAAACTATAATTCTTAAAATGTATATTTTGCAACGATTGTAGAATAACATCTTGTGTAAGTTCCTAAGTAATATTATAATAAAATATGAGAAATATGCATTTAGAGGTTTGAAAGTCCACATATTGGAGAAGAAAGGAAGGTAATTCTTTCAAACTTACTTTCACTTACATACACAATTTTATACACTTGTAGGATATTATTTGCTATTCATAAAAAGTAGGACGTTTTATATTTTGAAGCAAACCAAGATCAGCAGTAAAACACTGATCGAAGTATATCGTATATATGACAATATTTTTACATACTAAAGCGCAGCTTTAACATTCTAATTATTTATAAATTAATGCTACCCAACTATGCTTCTTGTAGCGAAAAGGCCGGATGCAATTGCTGAAAAAAAATATACACATCATATGTCATCACTGTGACATTGACGTTGACAGCTTATAAAAATGGTCAAAGTTTTTGATGATAATTCGAAGTTACAACACAATTTCAGCGTTGTACCATATGTTTATATAATTTTCAATGCATCTTTATATGCTAATACATAAAGAAACTAAAACTGAAGTCGATTTCAGTCGATATATATTCATCAATTGATAATTTGTAGTCTCAAAAATGTCGAAAATAAAAAAATTAACAGGCTCATTCCGCTATACACAATGGGATCCGTGTCTTATTATTTCTCAAATAGTGGCAATGCAGTTTGTTTTGTATCTCACACTGTGTATTTTGATGGCTATAATGCAGGATCTGACTTCTTCGACACGAACCCTCGATCATTTATTCGAATATCATGTGAGTATACTTATACTACTAAAGGAATACGTAGATACTATAATTTATTTAGTCTAATTTACAGTACATACATTATCATTAAAATATACTAGCAGCACCCGTGGCTTCGCTCGCGATAAAACTACAAAAAAGCTCTAAAAAGGTAGGTTTCAAACAAACTTTCATCCTCTATTTCACACCCTTGGGGGTAGAATTTTGAAAAGTCCTTCCTTAGTGGATGCCTTCGTCATATGAGCAATACGTGTGCGAAATTTCCGTTTTCTAGCCTTAAGGGTTTGGCCTGTGCAATAATACATCAGTCAATCACTTTTGCCTTTTATATATATAGATATTTACTATAATGTCTTATCAGAATAATGTATAAAAACTTTAGTTTCTCTGATTTACCTTTCAACAGTGCTTAAATGGATTTAATAAAGAAGCCTTAGAATTAAGAACAAAAAAAAATATTTCTACTTAGTAATAAAAATAAAATAATGAGACTATTCATGCATTATTTGCATATACCTAGATGAAATTGTTGACATTGTAAATTTTTAGGAAATCCATGTAAAGGACAATGAAGGACGAGCTGTGATATTGGCATTTGTATTAAATGCTGTCATCGGAGCCTTCATGCTATGGATGTTGGTGGGGAGAACTAAGTTGTGCTTGGATTTTAGGTAATTTTCAAATATATTCACTGCTTTAAGTTAAGGTAAGGTAAAAAAGACAAAAAGAGCACTAGATTTGATTACATACAACACTATACAGGGTAAAATAGTGTTGTTTAAGCTACTTTTCTAGTATTATAGCGGTAAACAGGCAAAGTATTTTATATCTATACTAATATCATAAAGACGTAAAGTTTGTGAGGTTATAGTTACTGGAGTTATACGGGATAATCTCTGGATCTACTGAACTATTTAGATGAATTTTGGTAAGATAGTTTGAGACACTGGGAAAGACAGGACTTTCTATCCCGGAAGTCAACCCTTAAGGGGAAGAAAATTTGTATGGGGAATCAACAAGTCTATAATATTTTTATTTATATTTTTCAGTTGTACCTTCTACTGCGTACACTTACTCTTCTGCTGGGTGTACAATGGTAGCTTTCCTACCACATTTTCTTGGTGGGCACTAAATATTGCATGCACAGCCATAACCTGTGTCGCTGCCGAGTTTCTGTGCCTACGGACTGAGTTACAGGCCATACCATTAAGTATTGGTTCAAAAGTGGACTTATGAAAGTTAAAATATACAGCAATCTTCACTTAGTGCTTGTTTTGTGATAGACAGACAGTGTTTTTGAAGATGATTTGTGTAATTTGAAACTCGATGAAACGAAAATGCGATACGAGAAAGAGACAAACACATAAATATATAGAATTAAGCCAGCGAGAGAATGACATAGAATATATTAAACAGGAAGTAAAAAAAATACTGAATAATATGTTATGTAATATATGTTAAATAATTTGTAAAATAACTTTTAAACTTGGTAAAAAAAAACTAAACCTTACAATTATACTACTCCTGATACTCTATATATGTTTATCGCATTCTCTCATAGGTTACTTTTCTGAAGTTTCACTTATACCGTGTGTGAATTGTACACACACAGACTTTTTTGTTGTATAATTAAAACTGTATATACATAAATTATTGGATATAGAAATAAGAGAATTGAATTTAGTATTTTACTATCACAGGAAAATAATTCAAAATTTGTTTGTTTGTTTGAACACACTAATCTTAGGAATTACTATAATCTGATTTGGATTAGATAGCCCGTTTATTGTGGAAGGCTATAGGCTATATATCATTATGATACTACCCAAGGGAGCGGAGCAGTAATATAATATATAGTCTATCTATTCTATACTAACAATTAAAATGTACCCAAGTACAAACCTGAGCGAAGCGAGGGTGAGTCGTTAGTAATCTATAAGGCTTTTTGACATTATTGTGAATTCATTACTTTCTGTTTATTTTTTCATAGATTATTATTAAATAACTAAGTGCCTCTCACTTTGCTAATAACAGTATGGAATTCATCATCTCCCTGCGCATTTCCCAATCACTTGCCCTATTGAAAGTGGGGTCGGTCCAGTACATCTTCTGTACTGCTGATAGGTTTTGGCAAAAGTTTTACGACCGGCCGTCTGCCTGACATCAACCCTCCTTGGGAATGCTATTGTTTACCATGGAAAGTACTCAAGGTGTGATGACCAGCAAATCTAGATTTGGATATATGAAATTGTCTAATGCCAGTAAATGGAGTTATGGTCATTAAAATGCTCAGTGACTCGACTTTTTGTTTCTCAGGTCTAAAGCCGTGAGTGTATTAATAAAATAAGACTTTCTGGTAACAACATATAATGGGAACTGTTTAACAGATACAATAAAGATATCAGCTAAATAAGTTAATTTAAAGTGGCTTGTAATACACCTTAAAAATGTAAGTAAATAAAAATTATATTAAGATATATGTACATATAACTAAATATTGTATCGATCTTATAACAAGAGCTTCCAGTACAAAAACTTATTAACATCTTTAAGCTAGCTTAAGCAACCTGAAAATCCTTTTGCAGTCCTTGAGTAGCTTTTTGCAGTATTAAAAAAATTATCACATACTTGGATAAAAAGTAGATAGGTATAAGTAGCTAGCCTATTTTTGAAAGAATTTTCATTAGAATAGAATAAATAGATACAGAAATTTAAATTGCAAACTATATCAAAACCTATATATTGTATATGCTCTTTATATTAGAATCTGTAAATAGATAACTTATAGTGGCCTTAAGTTGTACAGATAATTGAAGTAAAACCCTGTTTTTGTACTGCAGTTATATATTTGATACTAGCGACGTTCCTAAGCTTGAATGATTTAGGAACATATAAAAAACAAACCTCCATAAAAAAACTTCTTTTTTTTCAGAGAATTACCAACACGGTTTCATCATAGTCAGATCAATATTTTTAAGAATGTAGGACAAACATACGAACATTTTCTTTAAATCTATACTAATATTATAAAGAGGAAAGATTTATTTTTTTGTTTCTTTGTACCTAATAGGCTCCGAAAGTACTGGACCGATTTAGATAAAATATCGTAAGAAGATAGTTTGAGGCTAGTAAGGACATAAGATAGTTTTTATCCCGGAAATTATCTGTTAAGGGGGTCAAAATGGGGATGAAAGAAGTTTATATGAGGAAGCAACCTAGGGTCGAACCCGAGAGAAGCGAGGGTGAGTCGCTAGTATTTAATATTCCTATTAGTATTTATATATTACAGCAGTTTGGTATGAGGAGTGTTACATGTTTGTTTAATGAAGATTTAAGTTATTAATTAATGCAGAATTGTAACTTAAAAAGTATGTGTAATTATTTATTGTATATAAATAAATGATATCAGAACATATATTTAACTAAAAGTTATCGAAGTAAATTGTTAAATTAAATTCTAAAAGTTGTTTTCATCTGTGAGGACAATTTTTGTCGCTGATTGTGTGTCTACTACTTTTTTGATCAATGCTAAAAGTTATTTTTAAATTAGTTAGAATAGTGTAGATTTTGGTTTTAACTAATATTTATATTGTTGAATTTACTGATATTATATGGAATCATTGTATCATTGTATATCTTATATATATAAAAGAAAGTCGTGTTAGTTACTTCGCTTATAACTCAAGAACGGCTGAACCGATTTAGCTGAAAATTGGCAGGGAGGTAGTTTAGAGCCAGGAGAAGGACATAGGATACTTTTTATCCCGTTCGACCGCGTTCCAATTTTTATGATATTTTAATTTTTGGATTTCTCTTAGTCCGGAATAGGTAAGTATTAAAACATATAATTAAAATGTGAGAAAGAAAGATTTTTTCTTTTTATATCTATTTAAAACGTACCTAGCGACGAACCCGAGCTACGCGTGGGTGAGCCGCTAGTCATTTATATTTAAGACTCATCAGTATAGAAGAGCCAATCTTAAATCAATAATTTGGAAATGCATGAACTAACAAAAATGCCTATAAAAATATTAATAGAAAACTATCAGACTAAGTATTCATCTTGCATTTTTCAAAATTGTGAGTTAGGCCACTTTTGTTCTGCCGGTCTTATTTTTTAACTGTAAAGTGGCTTGTATTTGAGCAATAATATAACTTACCAAGTGTACAATGAAATGTTAATGTAAATAAACTTCTCTATACTAAAAAACATATTTTATTATATTACCCTCCATTTATCTCGAGCACCTACAGTGTAAAAAATATAAAAAAATCATTTTAAATGTACCTTTTTTGGGGAAATAAGGTTCCTCAGAAAATAAATAATGCTCGTCAAATTCCGGGGCATGTGTTCGTTAAGTCTTCTAAAAGGCTTGATCGATTGTGATGATTCTTATGTACTTATAGGGTCACCTGGATAGTTTTGTTATAGTTGGACCCGGTAGATGGCGCTGTAGTCGAGATTTAGATTTTTAAAATATTTTTGTTTGATTTCTCAGATATAACCATAATATAATCTCAAATTTTAGCCTCCTAGCACGAGATTTGTAAGATGATAACATCAGTATACCGCCACATAAGTGTTATAGAAAACATGAATTATAAACCATAATAAACAAGTTTGTAGTCCATATCTATACTAATATTATAAATGTGAAAATGTGTTTGTTTGTCCTTCTTTCACGTCGAAACAGAGTGACGGGATTAGCGTGGTTTTTGTGTGGAGATAGTTGCGAGGGCTGGAGAGTGACTAAGCTTCTTTTTACCGCGGAAGATTATCTCATTCCAACGGGAAAAAACGTTATAATACAACCCAAGAAAATAATTATGATCAGAATTACTTGAATTAAATAAACACGTATCTTAGCATTTTTCTAAATATACCCTTAAGAGGATAAAAGAGGGGATGAAAGTTTGTATGAAACATACCTTTTTAGTTTTTTGTAGTTTTAGCACGAGCAAAGCCGCGGGTCTTGCTAGTTTGTATATAACATTGTATAAGTCAATTAGGTATTGGAAAATAAAACTCATTGTTGATTATAAAGATATATTTGAAAACAAAAACAAATTGCAACACAATGTTTATCACATATTCACGATAGCACAAGGCAAAGCTCTTCTATTAAAATATTACAACACCTATATTGCAATAAAATTAGCTGTTTTTCTCACACATTTCATCTCTAAACCTTATATAGTTAAGAATATAAAATTTAGAGAACTTAATACAAAAATAATTAAAAAACTAAACTCAAAGGAAGGTATTAAATGAAATAACTTGTTTTTTTAGTAAATTTCATCAAAATAGTGACAGAAAAAAACTTAAATTTTCCATTTTTTTTAACGAATTCTAAAGATATTTTTTTTTGTGTTAGAAAAACAACCAATTCAATTACTTATTGTAATATTAATTTATTATAGCGTGCTTTTAATACATTTTTGGTGTTTCTTATGCGTTCAGGCCTTAAAACAAAAATACACGTTGAATTATTATATATGATTCTTAATTTATACAGATTAAAGAAAAAATCTGGCCATCATGAAAAAAATTGCCTATAGATTAAAAAAAATATAAAAGAACCGTGAACGCATTCTTATATTATATTACGTATATATCTATGTGCTCTAGCGTTTTATTGCTATGAGGTGCAAGTCTCCTACACTATATTTTTTGTGTTGGGCCAGTTTATTATAATTAGGCCGATAATATCATACATTTTTAAAAATGGACTAATAGAAAAATATCTTGTAATGTTATCGTTGTAAGTGTGAGCGAGATAGTGATACACGTTCAGAAGCTATCTCTTTTTAGAATTTCGATTAGACCATAGACAACGTATTTACTTTTGTGTAGTTAGAGGGCTATAAAAATATACACGTATTTCTGCATGCAAATATCTTGTTATGGTCAACTTAATGAACTGCTAATGCATTGATTATAGCTGGTAATTTAATTATATTCGCGAATATATTTATTTTGAAATTTCTAAGATTATATGCAATACTACATGTTGCCACAACAACAATTTATTTTATGATGAATTACAAATTGATAAATAAAAAATGATTACATTTTTAAAGATTAAATAAAACAAATTCTAAGCGAAGATTAATTTCAATGGTATATATGACCCAACATTTACATTCTAATATCTATACCTAGCACAACACTTTATAATTTCACATTGCTAACGTTTATAAAAATATTTCTTAGTAAAAAAGCAACGGCAGTAAAAATTAACAGACGGTGTTAAGTTATCTTATTGCTTCATTCGACCTTGGATTATACACATTCAATTAAATGAAATAAAAATGAAAAAAAGTATATTTTTTTATTGAAATATGAAAGAAAAGGGCTTCATTTTCGTACCAAAATAACAAAAAAAATGTCAAAGGATTTGATCTTTTCCTTACATATTCTGAAAGAAGACTGTGCCTGATAAAAAATATATTTATGAGAGAAAAAATGTCAAATACATATATATAAATCGTCGTAATTAAACACAATATTTTGAAACATACTGCTTTCAATAAATAAGTTTACATTATTTAATAATAATATTATAAAAGTTAATTTAAAATATTTAAGACTAGAGTGGAGTCGAGTTATAATCCAAAGTCTTACAAATTATACAGGAAAAGTTTATTATATAACATGTTAAAACGTCCCATGGACGTAAAGGGGTATAACCATAACTTTTTAGCATCATTTTTTTTCTTTCACCAGTACTGAAACCTACAAACATAAAAATGGATTCATGTCCGGACCACCCGAATCTCCTAACCAAATATGGCAGTGACAATTGTATATGATCTAATAAGGAGCAGAAATACTTTATGTAAACTGGTTGACCAATCATAAAGTAGTATTTAAAAATAACGCCTGAAAAAAAATAATAGCAACCGCAATATCTTTAGTTTGTTAAGGTTTAGCTAGTTCGTTTCTTCTTTAACAGACTTCATACATAGTCTTCTAATTATGTTCTAAGTTTCATTAATGACGAAAGAAAAAAAATGTTGCTACCAATCCATACAAAGGATTGCATTGTCCTTTTTTTTCAAAAAAGTTGGAATAACAAAGCAATAAATTAAATAAATATAACTTGCTTGTAATGTAATAAATTAAATAATAACAATGGAAATTCTTGGTAACATATTTAGCATTAGTATGTAGTTATATTCGTAGGGCCGTCCATAAGATACAGAAAAACTATAAAAAAGGACGACTTCCAGGCACTAAAAAGTGAAAAAATACTAAACGGGGGTTTTTATTATTTCAACGATTCGGTTCTCGGGTATTGTCGGCATACATAAAAAAGATACCGACGAATTGAGCTACTCCTCTTTTTTGGAAGTCAGTTAAAAATAAAAAGTTGTCAAAGTTGAAGGAAGAGAGAGGTAGATGATATCATATATCCCGTGACCATAATTGTCGTAAATCATTCGAAACATCACTAACCAAAAATCAAAATAAATCCGTGAAATAAACCGAAAGATAGTTTTATTTAAAATGTCAAATATTCGCGTAAATCTTAGAAAGTATTGTTATAAAATTTTCAATTATTTTATATTTTACAATTCATGTGTTTTAACTATTATAATATGTAAATATAGTAAAGCTTAATTATTAATCATAAGAATAATTTTTCTTGACAAAAAAACTGGACGAACTGTATAGTATGAAGAGGCAGTGTTTATTATAGTAATATTTTAGTTTAGATAGTCATATAAGAAAAAAAAAATTATGAGATTTTTTGAAAAAAAAAAAACAAAAAAAAACGTATGTACTTATGCACGCACGCAAGAACTTATACTTCTTTGGCGTAACAAAACAAAAATAGCTAAAGATTTCATGTACGTCACAACTCCCTTTTTGTAAAAGGAATGCGGCTAACTTCATCATGTCGCTTTCAGCTAACTTGTGTGCGCGCGCATCGTAAAAATTTTACTCTCATATTTTTTTCCAAATGGGCCAATAGAAATGTAACTTCAAAATATTTTCAAGATTTTTTTGAAAAAATATACAAAAAAACGCCATAAAATAAATTAACTGGGAAGAAACAAAAATCACTAATAGTTTTAGTAAAATCTGCAAAATAAATAAAAAAAAACACATTATAAATATAATTATCAGTGCAAAGTGACCCAACTTTAATATGATATAGTGCTATTATATGATGGACACAAAAAATCATTAATATTCGCTATAAAAGCTAGGTATACATTACATTATCTATACATATCTTAAATAAAACTATCTTTTCGGATTTTGTCGCGGATTTATTTGCATTTTTGTTTCCCGACGTTTCGAATGCTTTACAGCAATCATGGTCACGGGAGAGCCTCTCCAATGCAAATAAATCCGCGACAAAATCCGAAAAGATAGTTACTTTTATTTAAAATGTCAAATATTCGCGTAAATCTAAGAAAGTACTATACATATCTAACTAAAAAAAGCATCACGCCATTTCTAACTCCATTTTATTTGAGAAATACACTATTTTCTAAGCGGAAAGGAAAATTATTATTCTAGGAAGACGATGAAAACGGCCCGTTTATATCTAACGATGTTCACATTATTCTTTTATTACAAATGACTGCAGTATATAATATATTTGCTATACAAATATTTACGCAGTGATCAAATTACATTTTTGTTTTTGCTCTTAATAAAGAAAGTATTTAAATATTGAACATAGAAAAAAAAACATTAACAATGTTTCAACATAAAAATATCAAAAGACCATGAAACCATAAAGATACATGTATTTTTTTAATTATTAAATAATTATGTACAATCGGTAGTTATACCCGGGACTTTTGGCTTAATATACGTTTTTAATTCAAAACAATACTTTATTGAGGTAGACCTACTTAAATGTTATTTTGATCAAATTTTAAGTTACGCATATTAATGTCCAATTTTTTTAAGTATTAACGTTCCAAAAACAAAACAAAAACCCGAAAAAAATATATCTATTGCAAATATTTTTTCAATTATAATATTAAAAACGATATAAAAACACTTGATTGGGCTAAAATTTAAAAAAACAAAAAAAAAACAAGCATTTAATGCTGTTTTTTTAAACAAAAAAAATACTGCATGTTGCATATTTGGTAATATTACTTACTATTACGTATAAGCGAACGATATTTTTGTCTTTTTCTGTCTTTTAACATTCAACAAACAGATAAAATACTTAACTTTTTGCTAAAAATTTCTCAGTTATTTTAGAACCTCCCTATAAATAATACAGGTTGTTCTAAAACTGTCAAATATTTTTAAATACATATAAACTTACCTTTTGAAATAAAACATTCTGAGTATTTCGTGAAATTAAAATTTTAATTTTAAATGATCTCAATGTGTGTTGATTTTTTCTGTCCAACTCAAATAATACATATTATACTATATAGTAAATTGTTTTAGTTATGATTATATTCAAAATTATAATAACAAAATTAAATATAAAAAAATAAATAATAATAAACACGGTGTTAATTTAGATATGAAATAAAGCCCCATTATCAGATTTTCAAAGCAATTCCGATTGTCACTTGACTTACTTTACAAGCTTCTATTTAACTTGCAATGTTTGTTTGTATGTAGTTATCCTCAAACGATCGAGCTCAATTTTTTTACGTATAGTTTGGCTGACAATGTATGATTAGCCAAGTGACGCCATTCTAAATCTAATAGGGCGGGCTCCCAAAGATGGCGGACTATGTTTTTTATGCGTCCCCATGATATCGATATCAAATGAAAAAGTTTGCTGAGCAGAATACGAATAAAATAAAAACTAAAAAGTAAAAAATAAATTAATCGCAATCAAAATCATCACACACAGAGACATTAAAAAACTAAAGTGGAGCGAAATAGAACGAGAGTAATAACAGGTTCGAATCTACGAAAATTCGATACAAAATCTTATTGCTTTGCAAATTAGGCCTTTATGTTATAAGTGTTTAGGGTGAATTTTCATCATCCACTTCTTTTATAACAAAGTCGGATTCCCATCGCGCTCTTTCCGCTAGAAGCTCTTGTATTTTCTGCATATGACAATAACAATTTGAGTATATCATTTTTGTATATTATGTACTTACAATTAATTTAAAAAAAACTTAAAACTAACTGACTGAAATTTTAAAATTCAAATAATTTATTAAAATTTTGAATTTTTTTGAAAAAAAAATCTTTAAGCATTATTTTTTTTTTAATTGAAAGTCATGAGTCTATCAGTTGGCAAAGCAAAAGTCTCAGTCCCGAGAAGAAATGATAAAAAAAATTGACAGGACAAAAATTATTATTTAATAATTATAATTGAAGTATAACATTTTTGTATATTATGTACTTAGTAAGTAATAATGAATCTATACTAATATTATGAAGAGGAAAGATTTTTTGTTTGTTTATTCGTACCGAATAAGCTCCGAAACTACTGAATCGATTTAGAGGAAATTTATTAAAAAGATAGTTTGAGACCCTGGGAAGGTCGTAGGATAGCCCGTAAAACAATCCCTTAAGGGGATGAAAGTTTGTATTGGGAAGCAAATTAAAAAAACGCTACGCTATACGCTAGTAATAAATAAAAAAAAACTTAAACTAACTGACAATTTTAAAATTTAAATAAAACATTAAATTTTTTCATTGAATCTCATATATATTAAGATTATATGTTAGCAAAGAAAAAGCCTCAGATCTGAGAGGAACTGGCGAAAGAAACTCAGTGTAATTTTGTTACTCAATCATGCCAGAATGGCTGAACGGATCTGGATGAAATTTGGCACAGAGATAGATTATAGTCTGGAATAGTACATACATACAACAAAACGGTAGATATATAGGTTATTGGGAACAAATATAATAAAATAACCGTAAGGATATAACAAAACGGTATAATTACCTCAGGCTTATCCAGAATAATTATCCTATTTTCAATTTTGGGCGCCAGTTCACATGCATTTTGCTCCAAATCATCCAACGAAGCACGACGGGTTAACCTATAAATTAAAATAAAATATTATGTGTGTACTTATATATGTACGTAAGTTATACTTCTTTGTTTTTTTTTTCGAGCACTTACATACAATACATACAAGAATACAGGTGAGTATGTTTGAATTTTAAAAAACAAAGTACAATTTTCATTAATTAAAAAAAACTAATAACCCAATCTACCTTCTTTAAGCATTTCTTTTTATACCCAAAGCTTTGGATTTCACCATCCAACTGGTCATATTACGTATAATACATATTATATTATCTTGCATAATATTGACGACACGTTTGGCTCAGTTTGTAGTGACTCTTAGTTATTGTCCAGCGGTAGCGGGTTCAATTCCCGCTGGGGGCATACATTTGTGTCATGAGCATGAATGTTCGTACTCCAGTCAGGGGTGTTTATATTTTTAAATATGTATGTATTTAAAGTTATATATATGTGTAGTGTATCAACTATCTGGTATCCATAACACGAGCCTCGTAGCTTACCATGGAACTAGATGGTGCTGTGTGTTAATGTTCCAACATATCTATTTATATTATTTATTATATATATGGTTATATATTATGTATATATGTAAACTTATCGTCTTACCTATGATGAGTATTATGAGGAGGGGGCTCAACTGTAGTCGATGAGGCTCTCCTCATTGGCGGGGGACCGTCTAACTCGCTGTTCTCTAACATTTTTACTAAACTGTGTCTGGAATTAAAAAAAAACAGAATAATACATACATGTAATACTTTCTTAGATTTACGCGAATATTAGACAATTTAAATAAAACTATCTTTTTTTCGGACATTTTCGAATTTCGAATAAAAATCAACAAATATTGTACGTTACATACTTTGGTGCCATTTTTGAAATCATTTTTGTAAAACAGCGGGTAGGCACTGTCTGTAACAAGTCTGTAACGCCTTTGAGAAGTCTAAAACCTTAGTCTCTCCCGTGACCATCTAATCTGATCCGTGATCACAATATGGTTAAGGAAAGTAATTGTCGTAAAGAATTCGAAACGTCGGGAACCAAAAATCTAAATAAATCCGCGAAGAAAACCGAAAAGATAATTTTATTTAAAAAAATAAAACATACATATATGTCAAAATATACTGTATAATAACCCATTTTGGCTACAGCAGCCAATCTCACTGAGATAAGCACACACGCAGCTGCGTAGGAGAAATTATAATGCAAAAGTGCAGTCTCTGCTTTTACATTCTCAAATTCAAAGAATATAGTATTATTTTATTCTTAAAATAATATATATCGAGAGTAGTAGCATAAATAACAGATCACGCTACTATTTTTAACCTTGACATTTATTTTATTTTGGTGGACTATATAATTCTTTAGTCTGAGTTCGCGAAATAAGAACCCAATAACTAATCTCGCCAATCTCGGAACGCGAACCCAAGACTAAAAATAATAATAATAACAATAAAGCCTTTTATTCGGACAATAGATACACAATTATCTTTCTACACTGTTATATTAATATAATTTTTTCAGAATATTTTTTTTGTTTTTTCTTTAATATATATTTTGTACATAATTAAAATTATTCGCGTATTTGGTACTTCTATTCTTTCTGTAAGTCCGTTTGCCAGTTGGCAAAAGCCTACTCCAACCTACTCCATTCTGATCTCTCTCTAGCTACTCTACTCCATGTTATGCCTGCAACTTGCCTGATATCATCGTCCCGTCTATTTTGCTGCCTATCTCTTTTCTTTTTATCTACCTTTCAACAATACAAAAGATTAAAACTAAAGTATAACACAACGAACCTTCGACTTAAAGTGACCAAAGATTGTCTATGCTTAGACGGCCGGGACTTCCCCGTTCTCACGTTAATCGCCGCGAAGTGATTCTGTATCGCCATACCGATTTCTGGACACATATCTTCTGGTACCTGAAAATTAAATTATATTTTACTAGAGACTTTTGTCACGTTTTATGTGCCTTTTGGATTTATAATATTAACAGTAGCCTATGTGTTTGACGACACGTTTGGCGCAGTTTGTAGTGACTTTACTTGCTGTGCCAGAGGCCGTGGGCGGTACGATTGGCGGTGTTGCACCACCGGCTCTCCGAGGCACGGGCAGTCGCCAGGAGTAGGGAAGCGGTGTTTGAATTAAGAATATCTTAACAGAAACTCTCAGTAATTATTTTAATCATTATTATTTGCCCGATACGGGCTCGAACAGTGAGTGCATCACGAATAGGCTACAACTGCCCTTTAACATTAATATACATAATGAAAATCTCAAAAGTATATATATACCTTATCTATAAAAATAAAAATAAATCATCGAAATGTATGTGGCGTATAACTTCCGATCGCCGGCACTAAATTGGATAATACTTTATTTTTTGTGTTTGTTATTGTTAGGACAAGATTTGTATAGAAGAAAATTATAAGAAAAAAAAAACATTTTTTTATAAAATAAGATTTTTAAAATCTCATGATATGAAAAGTGAGTGAGTGAAATAGTTTTTATCCCGGAAATCATCCCTTAAGGGGGTGAGAATGGGGATGAAAGTCTGTATGGGGAAGCAAGTTAGGGACGAAACAGAGCGAAGCGTGGGTAAGTCGCTAGTTTAAAATAATCAAATAACACTCTACGTACCAGTACAGGGCACTGTCGTAGCATCGTAAACCCATCGTTGCCAGCATGCAAGTATTGTTTGATGCCGAGCCTATATTTCTGATCCCGTTGCAGATATTCATCCCCTATTTTCACCACTTGTTCCGCTACCCTCTCGCCTGGTGGCTTTGATGGGTCGAAGGCGAATGATATGCCAGCTACCTGTGATAAAGAATTATAATTTTATCTTATTTCTTGTATATTTATAACCTCCACACAAAAAATCATGCCAATCCGTCACTCTGTTTCGATTTGAAAAAAGGACAAACAAACAAACACACTTTCACATTATAGTATTAAAGTATGGAATTATAGATTTTGTGTACCTCGGAAACGGCTCTAAAGATTTGGATTGAACACATTTTGTATTTAGATAAGGTTTTGGTTTTTAAGTTTATTTATATAAGTATGTTTTCTGAAGAAATTAAACACTCAAGTACTATATACATAAAGACAAAGCTATTCACTATGACCTTTGAAACGTCTATAACCTTAGTCTCTCCTGTGACCATAATTGCTGTAAAGCATTCGAAACGTCCGGAACCAAATATCAAAATAAATCCGCGAAAAAATCCGAAAAGATAGTTTTATTTAAAAAAAACTACAATTTAACATTTTTATACAACGTCTAATTGACGGCGTCTGAGTACTTAAAGTTTGACAGATAATAAGATCAGAAATACTCTATTAGCAATAGTGTGGAAGTGAGAGAGCATGATCCACATCGTCATTTTAAATTCATTTCTTTATTGGGGCGGGTTATAAAACGTCACATTAGTTTGAGTGAAAGAGACGATGCTATATAAAATCGAAGTTAGCCGATTATCTCTTTCTAACACTTGAATACAATTTACTATTTTATTATTCCTGTTGGATCTACTATTATTATTAGTATTTCAATTAGTTAAATACATCCAAAATACCTTAATCTATCTCTAATAAGTAATCACATACAAATAAAATCTTTATTACCTGCGTAATAAAAACTATATTACCTGTGGAAACCTTCCCTCCAAACTAGGATATTTGCAGACTGAATTCTCCAAAACTTTGAGGACAGTCTCTCCGGTCGCCTCCACTACTACTATGGGATCTCTCATCGGGATGATCGTTGATAGATCACGAAGGGTGAAATCTCCAGCGGGATGAACCTAATAAAAAATTTATTAAAATAATATTAAAAGCATTTAGGATTAAGTTGCATTGTGTCTTTAATTTAAAAATGTTTTAATGTAATTATCACTAGTGGATCCAAATATATAAATAAATAAAAATAAATAAACGCAATTATACCTTTTCTCAGTTGGGTAATAAAGACAAGTATAGTTAATTTGAGACATTAATTTAAATTACTTTTCTTAATACGTGAACAAAGTCATTTATTTTATGTTCGCCTTTTATCCTCGCTCCATAAGTTTCGTCCCTACCAAAAATAGCTCAACGCGACTTAGAAGGCTTTTCACTTCAACAAACCAAACTCTTCAAACCTGATCAGATCTGAAAGTCCCAGAATTCAACACCACTAGATCAGCCGCAGTGGCAGCCAACAGGACGTCGCACACCCAATTGCCTAGATTACACTCCTGCCGGCGAACTACTGAGAACCTTCCTTCTAGAGGAACATAGAACTTTCCCAGCACTTCGTCCATTTTGCCATCTATCATTGCTGTGAATAAAAAATAAATAAAAATACGTTATAAAGTACTGGTAGCCCAGTGGTAGCACACTCGCTTGAGATACAGAGTGGGTTCAAATCCCGGGTCTCGCACCTCAGATATTTGCATGTGCGAATCGTTTTCAACATGATTACCACTTGTCTTACGGTGAAGGAAAATATTGTGAGGAAACCTGCATGCGTGAGAGAACCTAGCAAGTTTTAGACGGATATGTGAAATCCGCAAACCCGCACTTGGTCAGCGTGGTGGACTATGGCCTGATCTCCCTCGTATTGAAGGGAGGCCTGTGCCCAGCAATGGGACGTTAAAAGCGATTAAATAATTCCACTCTTTGAGAGTGAAATCATTTTAAAAACTCAAAAAAGAATAATGAAAACGCACAAAAAACATAAAGCCTAATTTAATAATTCAGTATTCACTTTGTTACTTTCGTTTATCCATACAATTAGCAGCCACACAAAATATTTCTTAAATACACGTCCCGAGAATCCGCAATAGATAGAAATATCCAATTACATACACGAGTATTTTTCCACTTTCGCCTTTAAAACTGGGTCTTCCGCGTACGAGCTGTTCACATTCACTTCTGAAATCTCGACTTGAGCCGTCTCTGTACTAAAATTGATGTTAATTTTGCTGAACTGTCGAAAATCAGTGCCACTTTTCACTACATATTTGTTGTTTATCTGAAAAATATATAAATATAATATGGTGTAAAACCATAGACATAGAGAATGGACTGAACAAGAACATGAAATTGACCCCCTCTCTAGGAAGAGAGAAAGCGAACGTGCGGCCGATACCTGTCCTTTATTCAAAGTTGAATTTATAAATGGAACGAAAAAAAAATATTATATTGAAATTTGTAATATTCATAGCTCATTCTTTAACCGGTTGATGAAAACGAATGGCTTAGTAAACCAAAATAATAATGGTTAACGGTTATTCTTAGAGAAAGTTTGGATTTCGATTTTATTATTTATTTTTCTATTTTGTTAATTTACTAATTTATGTACAAATAAAAACTTATTTCGATCAATGTCATCTATCTTATTTTTAAGTAAATAGAAAATAATAATGTTAGTACTATCTCACTCACCTCTAAAACCTCATACACATGGTCATGTCCGCCCAAAATCAAATCAATATCGGTACAGCCTTCTGCTAATTTAACGTCGTTTGGTGTCCTCATATGGGTGAGAGCTATTACGTATTCACAACCCTGAAAATGAAAAAACATATTGAAAGTTTCTTATTATCTATACACATAATATAATTCTAGTTGACTCGAATCTGTACATTAAATATTTTTTGGAAAATGTTATTGAAATAGTCATTATTATCGATACAAAGGGCGAATCTATAGTTTTCTAGTTCCATGGTAAGCTACGAGGCCTGTGTTATGGATACCAGATAGTTGATACACTATACATACTTATAAATATAAGCACTCATAACTGGAGTACAAACATTCGTGCTCATCACAAAAATGAATGAACAGCGGGACTCGAACCATCGACCACTGGCACAGCAAGGGCCACTACAAACTGAGTCAAACGTACCGTCATTCTTTTTTGACTTTAAAGATTTGATTATATTGTTTATTAGTTACAAGTTAATCTAATAGAAGAGTAATAAAAAAATACCTCTTGTTTTAATTGCGACGCCAACTTCGTTCCAGCTTGAAGGAAATCTATAAACGTGACTTCTTCGGGATTTATTGTTGCCAGAGTTTCTAACCATTCCTGAAAATTAACAATCGACGTCTCAGTGCTTATTTGTCCAAACGACCAATTCACAGAAAGAATTTTTAATACTGATTTATTGTATTTTAAATGTCAATTCTAATGGTATTAAAGTTGATTTTTTTACGGAACACGTGACCACGATTGCTGTAAAGCATACGGAACGTCAGGGGCCAAAAATAAAAAAAAGCAGTCATGACGACTGCCGACAGAAGTGAAAACTGAAAACATTAAACAAACAGTTGTTATTTTTGGATATTTAAATTATTTGTTTGATCTTAAATCAAAATTTGTAAATTAAAACGGTTCACATTTATCTGGTTTTGACATCTATCGACACTCTGACTGTTAGCGTTAACACGTCACGTGACCATGTCGATGACGACTTACATGAATTTACTCCCCATCCAAATTGCAAATAACATTTTTTAAATTGGTGTCCAATACAAACCTGTTCAACCAAACCAATGAGTCCAATTTTATGGCCATTACACATTAAAGCATGGGTTATTTTCCCATCCCCTAAAGGCCTTCCTGTCTCGTTGTCTATGACATTAGACATGAGCCATGGGAAGTTACATTGGGATACCAAGTTCGATAGAACGTCCAGACCGAAATCTGTTGAAAATAAGAATTATAAGCGAAAATGGTCTAAACCTATTAAGTTATTGAGGTTTTATGTAAAATATATTTAAATTATTGATAAACAAAAACTCATGTTACACTACTAGTATCTCAAATATGGCTTCAAAAAGAAGTGCACAATTTGATATTGAATTGCGCTTTTTGGAAATCTCTTAATCATTGCTTTTCGGATGACAAAATAAAAACGCACGTTGTTTCGTTTAAAAAAGTACTTTATGTAGTATGCGTAAGTTCGAATTTGTATTTAGACACTTAGAAATAATTTCATCTAAATCGGTCCAGTAGTTTTTGAGTTCATTCGTTACAAACATACAATAACACAAATCTTTCCTCTTTATAATAGTTTAGTGTAGATGTCGATTTAATAAAACAATAAAAATAAAACAAAGTCTCGGTTGATGTACATACATAATTACATACATATACATTATACATATATTCATGAATTTCGTAAGAAATAAAACATGAATTACGCCCCTCAATCCTAAATATTTACCGGATAAAACATACTCTATATAGTAATATATGGTCCTACAAACAAAGTTATTTTGAAATCACAAATATGTAAAATTTTAAATATATTTTGCATTTAATATGGGACGCAAAGTTCTGGAGTGGCGGCCACGTACCGGAAGGCGAAGCGTGGGCAGGCCTCCCATAAGGTGGACCGACGAATTGGTCAAAGTCGCTGGAGTCTACTGGATGCGGATGGCGCAAGACCGGTTGTCGTGGAAATCTTTGGGGGAGGCCTATGTCCAGCAGTGGACGTGTTTGGGCTGAGACGACGACGACGACGACGAAGCCAATAAATCGGTCGATGTACATATGTACATATGATGATATATGAGTTTTGTGTATTGAAAATGAAAAATAAGAGATAGGTATAATATGAAACTATGATGTCATAGAATTTTTATTTTAGTAAAAATGTGGAAATTTGCCAAAACTATTTAGGTTAGCAAATATGTTATAGAATTTAATATTTCTTCACTACGTACATATGTCTGAGAACGCTTTCTTTTAACAACTAGCTGACCCAACAGACGTTGTGCGAATTCCAATGAATTGTTGGCAATCTTCGAGTTGATACGAAAATGAAAATGAGAATTCGGGAACAACTGAAAAAAATGTTTTCAGTTTTCCCAAATATTCCAATTTTTGAACTTAATATGAGATATAATGTAACATACACACACTTGAAAAATAAAAACCTGTGTGTGTACTTATGTACGCACGTTAGAAGTTATACTTCTTTGGCGTAACAGAACAAAAATAGCTAAAGATTTCATCCCGTATGTCACAACTCTGTTTGTAAAAGGAATGCAGCTAACTTCATCATGTCACTTTTTGGTTGTCGGTGTAAAAATGTTACTCCCAATTTTTACCAAACGTGGCAAAAGATGTAAAACTTCAAAATAACAAAAATATATTTGCATCAGTCAACATGAAGATAGCAATATAAATGTAAAAAGTTCTTACCAAAATCATGATTTCCAAACACAGCACAATGTGTACCTATTTCATTTAGAACCGGTACCATTTGCTCGCCTTTTGTGAAAGTGCTCACTGAAAATAAACAATTTTATAATTTAGACTCATACATACAAACTGATAAACTATTAATGAATTATACCTAACTGAATCACTTCCATACACATATCTTATTGGATGGATGCATCCCTGGATGACTAACACTAGCAAGTGTTTAAAAAAATCACGCCAATCCGTCATTTCGTTTCGACGTGAAAGAAAAACAAACAAACACACTTTCACATTTATAATATTAGCATGGCTGTATAACTTACACATGCTAGGTGAAAATGCATCTCCGCTAAATAGTACTAGAGGATTGAGATGCTGTAAAGCTTTCACCGCTGTACTGAACCTTAGTGCACCTCCCACCGGCTCTGTATCTGTAAGGATAAAATATATATTAACTTTATAGTGGACTCGACAGACTTTGTCCTGGCCGAATATGGTATTCATCATTGTCTTCAACATAAAATCCTAAAACCCGATTGCAGCGCCACTTTCCAGGTCCAGTTGTGAATCTAAACCATCCAGGGACAATCATCAAAACAGGTCCAGCCATTTAGGAGTTCAGTGACACACGTACAGAAGAAGAATACATAAAAAGGTATATACTAACATAATGTCCTCCTGTGCTATTTTTGGCCACAACAGCCAATGTCACTAACTCAATTACGCAGGAGATATTTAGTGCACAAGTTTACAAACAAATTGACGTACTGTTATTCAATACTGACATAGAAACCCAAGAAGTAACAAATATACTCAGCCTGACCCGGGACTCGAACCTTAGGCGTCTCGGATCTACATTTAATCGGATTTCAGGAAGCTTATTATAAGTAGTCCTCCTAACCTATTTCGGCCACAGCGGCCAATCTCGTTGAGACTAGCACAGGAGATATTATAGTGCAGTCTTTGAGACACGAGGGTATATTACTCATCTCTATGTGTTTCGCAGCAAAAACATAGAACGTTCACACTTCCATTTCACTGACTTCAAGTTTAATTTTCTCTACAAAAAGAACTCTATGCACTTCTCCAAGATCACTTCGATCATTATACCAAAGTTCATCACAATTGATTTAACGCTTTAGGTGTGAAAGCTTAACACACAGACGGACAGACAGAGCTTTAGCATTTATAAAATAAGTATGGATTTAGCTAATGAATATTTTAAACAACTCTTTTATAATTATCAAGAATTGCTCGCCTTATCAGTATTTTCAGCCTACACAAAAAAATAAACAAGAAATCATAATGATTGATGTACTATCTGGCCTTCGTAAGTTTTACGTTTCCTTAATGTACAAGTATTCAAGATAAGATCTTAGGACCACTATGCCCTAATAGATACAGCGAATAGATTTTAAAAATAGGTTTAATATCGAGTTAGAGATTCTGAGAAAGTATCTCTGACTTATAAAGTGAGAGCTACTCTCTATAGTTCAAAGATACATTGGTGATCTGTGGCCACTACCAACAAGATTTAACATGTCAAGTTCTTTTACCATGCATATTGTTTGTATGAAATATGGCTTTATGGTCCCATAACATTATGACATAGGGAAGTATTTGAGCATATGTAAATTCACCCTATATCATACTAGAACTTACTTGTCGTTTGTTCGATGTTATAAACATCATTAAAATGTAAAATCAGTAAGTCATCGCCCATGCCTCGTCCTGACAATTGGCTTACAGCTCGTCTACCAACTTGCCTCACCTCCAAAGACGCCTGCAAAAAAAGAGGTACTATGTGACAAGATGGTTCTATTGACAATACTAAAACACCGATTCCCAATAACCTATTTATCTGAACTTTTCCTTACTGGAGATAGAAACTTGACATAAGCTCCTTATATATTAAATTAGCATATCAAATTATTTGGCTTTATATTATAAGTAATTAACACAGAAACGTCCCCACTCCCCCGCACGCCCTGCCTGCGCGCCTTGCGCCCGTCTACCATGCCGTGTAAGATTTTCGAAGCCTTATTTGACTCTATTGGGGGACGATTGTGTAAAAACTGTGATTCACGTGCATCATAATTTTAATTGAAGAGTATGTGTACCAATTTGTCAGTCAATCGATCCAGAGAAAATTTACTTCCCCATTTCACCCTCTTAGGGGTAGAATATCAAAAAAGCCTTTCTTAGTGGATACCGACACTTCACAAAGAACACATCCTCCAAATTTCAAAGCTCTAGGACGAGCGGTTTAGGCTGTGCGTTGACATACTCGTATCAGTCAATCAGTCAGAACTTTAAATTTTGTATATTTATATATAGATGTAAGGTATGTCAAATTCCTATCTCTAGTAAGATACTCGTAGATAGGTTATTGGGAACCGACGTTAACTGGCCAATGTATTATTTATTATCTATTAACAGTGATTTCTTTTGTTTGCAAACTAACAAACAAAAACATAAATCATAAAGCTGATGGAAACTCAAAATTAATGAAACATTTTACGAGACGTGTTGACCAATTGTATTGTATACTCCACGACCGCGGATACGCGGGCGTGTCAGTTAACAGTAGACTTCTTAGAATTTTAATTAATTTCTTAGAAATTTACCTGGAGGTGTTAATGTACAAATTTCCTAATAAATTTGAAGAAAAAAGTTCACTTATCGGATTTTTTCTTGGATTTATTTAGATTTTTGGTTCCCGACGTTTCAAACGCTTTACAGCAATTATGATAACGGGCGACTGGAGAGATTGAACTAAAAGTCAAGATAAATCCATGAAAAATTACGAAAAAATAGTTTTATTTCAAAGACATTACTTGATTTATAATATGGGTGCTCTTATTTTAAATAATATTCCGTCGTCGAGTGTCAAAATCGTTGTAATGTGGTATCGTATGTCATTGACACTGTCTGCTATAACGGAGGTCGCGCGTTCATTCACTTTGAGAACATATCTTTCTTTTGTCCGAGTTATAAATAAACTCCACTTGCTCATTGTTACAAATTTCGTATGGCCCAAACATAATTTTGTATGACATAAACATTCACACACGTCCTTTTAGCTAGATGGATGTATGTACATATTTACTTCTATAATACCATTACATGATTATCATCATCATCTCCCTATCCATTTCTCAATCACTTGGGGTCGGCACAGTACATCTTCTGGACTGCTGATAGGATTTGGCAAAAGTTTTACGACCGGCCGCCTGCCTGACATCAACCCTTCTTGGGAATGCTATTGTTAATAGCATTATATGTCTATATTATAAATAAATACTGTATATATGATCGTGCACAAGTGTCGAAATATGCATGCGAACATACAAGAAAAATGAGTAAATAATATCAGAAAGTGTAAATGTATTAATCTGGAGGTCGGCGTTAATTGCTACGACACAGTTTCATCTGTTTATATAATAAAATTCTAAGTCGAAATTGTTCATTAAATATTTTTTGGAAAATCTTATTGAAATGGTTATTATTATCGATATAGAGGCCGAATCTATAGTTTTTAGAATTTTTGTTTGTCTGTCTGTCTGGGAAAGCATCACGAGAAAACCACTGAACAGATTTTGATGAAATATGGTATGATGATAGCTGGTTATCCGGGTCAACATATACTTTTTACTGCAGGAAAGTATCTCATCTCTAAGAAATCTATACTAACCGTTAAAATGTACCTAGGGACGAGCCCGAGCGGAGCGAGGGTAAGTAATAGTAGTTCAATATTTTTGCTGACGGTAAAATAAATATTGTGAACATTCACAATACTTATTTTATTTGTAAATATTTTATTTTACATTTGTCCCAACACGTTATGTGAGAAAAAATATATTTTATAATTTCTATTAAAATTTGTCATGGGCATAAGATTTCATCATTGGGTCACAGGCTACATATGAAAGTTTCAAACGAAGACCCCTTCAAAGTAAAAGATGAAAAACCCTTTCTGACTAAGTAATAAAATATTTTTGGGTGCGGAGCCCAAAAAAAAACCTGTGTATTTACTCACGTAAGAAGCTATACTTCTTTAGCGTATCAGAACAAAAATAGCTAAAGATTTCATCCCGAATGTCACAACTTTCTGTTTGTAAAAGGAATGATAAATTAATAAAAATGACAGTTATCAGCTAACTTTATCATGTCGCTTCTTGGCTGTCGGTGTGCGCGCGTATCTTAAAAATTTTACTCTAATATTTTTTTCCAAACGTGCCAAAAGAAGTATAAATTCAAAAACATATTTTAAACTAGCATTGCCAGCGGCTCCGCCCGCGTTCAGATGACCAAAAACCAAATTCTTAGGTTTTGCATATTAGTATACTCTTACAATGCAATTTTTGTACTTTTTCTCAGAAATGAGATATTTTCCCGCGGTAAAAAGTATCCTATATGTTGACCCGGATAACCAACTATTTATTACCATATCAAATTTCATCAAAATCCCTCCAGTGGTTTTTCTGAGATGCGGTAACTATAGATTTAGCCTCTGTATCGATAATAATTTCTATTTCAATAAGATTTTCCAAAAAATATTTAATGTACAGATTCGGCTTAGTTAGAATTTTATTATATGTATAGATTCACAGAAGGGTATCCCAAGGTCGTGGAAATTAACCATTTTGACATTGTCAAATCAATTTATTACTTTTGACGGCACTAAAATTGACGTGTAAATATTAAATTATCCGATCCCATTCTAATAAAAGGGGAGAGGATGCACTGAGATTATTGTACTTAAATATATTACTTAGAGTGAGATTGAATAAAAAGGGTGTATTTTTCTTCTTAGATTTCGCATGAGTGTTTTACTCATCGTAATCATATCACACCATGTTTTTTCACCGATTTGAAAAAAAGAGGTGCTCAATATATGTGTATGCTATTTTGTGAGTAAACGACACCTTCGTCAATAGTGAACCGATGTATTTCATAAACCTTATTTAAAATAAAAACCTTTTAACAAAAAAAGTCGATGTGCTTTGCTTTGTATCGGCTGGCACCGACTTCGAAATTATTTGATTAGGTATGTATAGTAAATGAAAACTACCAATCAGTTATTTTTTACTTTTTAGTGCTTTTGTTTGAAGTCGGTTTTTATTTTTTTGTTAAAAAGTTTTTATTTTTCCCTTTTTAGTGTAGACAGTAGTAGCCAAGTAAGAATTCTAACGTGTTAGGCTTGTCAAATCAAACAAAATAAGCCCAAACTCAAAGTTTCTACTATTAGCCGTTGAAGAATTCCACCTATCCACCTTCTGGCCTTACCATCAGATCAGGTCAACAATACCGAACCACTCTACTATCAACAGAAATAGAAACATTTGCAAAGTTTCAAAGCAATATGACCATCAGAAGTAGGTTAAACTCATCATTAGCTGTTTTTCCACCATTAGGGGTGGTATTTTTTTTTTAAATTTAATTGGGACCAATCTGGAAGTATATCCTTTCAAACAAAACAAAAATTTCTAAATCGGTTAATAAATGGCGGAGTTCTAAGGTAACAAACATTAAAAAAAATACAGCTGAATTGAGAACCTCCTCTTTTTTGAGGAAGTCGGTTGAAAATAGGTTATCAAGAGGTCGCACGCGAGTTTCTAAGGAAATAACTACGATTAAAATCCTAAGGGGTGGATAAAATATATAGTATTTTTAGACGACACGTTTGGCTCAGTTTGTAGCGGATGTGTTTATATTTATAATTAATTTATAACTTAAAAGTTATATATGTGTAGTGTATCAACTACCTGGTATCCATAACACAGGCATCGTAGCTTACCATGGATTATTTATATTTATTATATACTTATTAGTTTCTTTGTAAGTATTATTAGGTCCTACATTCTTCGGCCCATAATCTATCCCTACGTAATTAATTACATCAATTAAATCAACGATATCTATACAAAAGAACAATACACCAACAAACTCATCTTCGCACAGCTCCATTATCCATATTTGAAAGGGGAAACGTAAGATCCCTTATAATCCGTCAGATTTGGAAGATGTTTCCTGCGAGCCGCTATACAATGTTATCAATACTATAATATAACAGTAGAGGTCGAATGTCTGTACATAGCAAAAAATGCTAAAAACCGAGTCAGGGGGATGTAAGAAGACAAATAGAACAAATCCAGATTTTTTTCATTTTTTTTGTTTCTCTGTCTGTTTGTCTGTTTGTATGGGCTAATCTCCGAATCTATTGGACCGATTTAAATTAAATTTTGCATGGTGGTACCTTATATTCCCGAGCAACATCTTATATACTTTTTATCCCGGAAAATTCAATAGTTCTCGTGGGATAGTAAAAAAAACTATAGTGACTTATACAGCTTAGTACACAACAACTCATGCACTTAATTTAGTAAAGTTTAACATTCTGATACCTTATATTGCCGGTCAAACAACAGGTTACTTTTCATCCCGGAAAATGAACGATTCCCGTGGTAACTAATAGATCTCTCTTAGTGCTTTTCTAGAGGCGAACCCGAGCGAAGCGAGGGTGAGTCGCTAGTAATTAATATAGATCAAAATTACGAAAGACGAAGATAAAAAAATCGGACAAGTGCGTGTCAGACGCGCACACCAAGGGTTCCGTATCATGAAACATTAAAATAAATTTATATTCATATTTTTTTCCGATGTAACTACAAGTTTACAGTTTCCGATTTTTCCCTTTATTTGTGCTATAAGACATTGCTTCTAGCCAAATTTTATAATTTCAGATCAACGGGAAGTACCCTATAGGTTTTGATTCCCTTGAGAGTGTCAAAATATACGGCACTAGCAACTCACCCTCGCTTCGCTCGGGTTCGTCACTAGGTTGCTTACGGACTCTTCATGTATTATTTTCAACAGTCATTTGTTATAAACCTAATGATTCGCATCTTAAGTTTCATCTGAACGGGTGCGCAACTTAGACCAGCTTGGCAACTGGCTTCCCTCAAGGCGGCGGATCCCCTATACAAACTGTCATTCCCATTTCCACTCCCTTAAGGGGTGATTTCCGGGATAAAAACTATCCAATGTCCTTCTCAGGGTCTCAAACTATCTTCTTACCAAATTTCATCTAAATCGGTTCAGTAGATCCAGAGATTACCCCCTACAACGTCACAAAATCACAAGTTTTACTTCTTTTATAATATTAGTATAGATAAACGGCTCTTTGCCAGATCTGATTATTTGATATTAATTTCAACTTGATACCTCCACGTGGTGGTGAGAAAAAGTCTTTCAAGACAGACAGATGGAAAACGAAATGATCCTATAGGGGTTCATCATTTCCTTTTGATTTACAAAACCCTAAAAAAACACGTCTTTATTTTGTTATAATGTGAAGAAAAAAACAAACATTCATAACACTTACATACATATATGTATTAGTATGTTATCTAAATAAAAATATGTATATTGGAATATTTTATTTGGCGTAAGTTATTATTATTAAACTGGTAAAGCTCGTCAAAGGCCAAGGTAGTGTATTATTTATGGGTCAAGGTACGGCTAACAGTTAAATACTGGGTCATAGCTAAATATTTTTATGATAATAATTTATGTTGGGGGAAATGCTGCATATAAATCAAATCAACTATTAAATCTTTACAATTTAATGGCTTAATTTACTTTTATTTTTAGGTACTAGGTGTAGAGGTTTATTTCATTAGGAGTGAATTTATGGAATTTAATTATATCGATTTAATAAGGCATATTACAATCATATATGTATAGAATATCATATACGGAAAGAATATAATATTATATATTTGTCAGAAATAACAACGGTTACCATGGCAACAATTAGTTATAACAGCTTTTATTTAATTTATGCATATTCATCCAACAACAAGTAATAAATATTCATGTTTATAATAAGTTCAGTTTTTTTAACAAGTTTAAAAGTTATTTTCCATTTTATTTAACATATTAAGTTATATTACATAACATATTATTCAGTATTGTTTTTCACTTCCCGTGTAATATATTCTATCTCATTATCTCGCCTGCTTAATCCTATTTATGTGTTTGTCTCTTTTTAGTGTCGCATTTCCGTTTCATCGAGTTTCAAATCACAACGATTCTAAAGAAGTTTCACTTCAAAAAACATGAAAGTTTCACAATCCGATTAATCCCATTAATATTATAAATATGGATATTTGGACCGATGGATGTTTGTCACTCAATCACTCCAGAACGGCTGAACGGATTTGGATGAAAGTTGACACAGAGATAGATTATATAAAAATTATAGTCAGGAATAGCAAATAGGTTACTTTTTCTCCAGAAAAATGTACGGTTCATGTGGGACAAATATTTTTTGGGAAATCTTATTGATATAAACATTATCGATACAGAGGCCGAATCTATAGTTTTTAGAATTTTTGTTTGTCTATCTGTCTCTCTGTCTGTAACCGCATCACGGAAAAACCACTTGAGGGATTTTGATGTGGTATGATAATTGCTGGTTATCCGGGTCAACATATAGGATACTTTTTACTGCGATAAAATATCTCATCTCTGAGAAATCTACACTAAACATTAAAACGTAAGTAGGGACGAACCAGAGCGGAGCGAGGGTGAGTCGCTAGTTTTAAATATTCCGATATTACGCTGGTGAGTGTCATAAGTTTCAGTGTACTTTTTTATGCTATATATCTACTGTTTAGCTAGTCAGTTGACCAATAAACAATGTGAATTTTCAGTGTTTTTTTTTTTGGGAAGTTGGTCGAGTTCCATTTCTTGGAGATCACGTAACTGATGACATAAAATCAACAGTATGTTGTTTAAAGGACTACTAAAGTAAACTTTAAAAGGAATGTGCGCTTTTATTAAGTGCATGAGAGAAATTATGGATTACTCTTCTATGGTGCACTATCCTACTAAAATTATAAATGTGAAAGTTTGTGAGGATAGATGGATGGATGTTTGTTTCTCAATCACGCCAGAACGATTGAACGGATCTGGATGAAATATGGCACAGAGATAGATTATAGTCAGGAATAGCAAATAGGTTACTTTTTCTCCAGAAAAATGTACGGTTCATGTGGGACAAATATTTTTTGGGAAATCTTATTGATATAAACATTATCGATACAGAGGCCGAATCTATAGTTTTTAGAATTTTTGTTTGTCTATCTGTCTCTCTGTCTGTAACCGCATCACGGAAAAACCACTTGAGGGATTTTGATGTGGTATGATAATTGCTGGTTATCCGGGTCAACATATAGGATACTTTTTACTGCGATAAAATATCTCATCTCTGAGAAATCTACACTAAACATTAAAACGTAAGTAGGGACGAACCAGAGCGGAGCGAGGGTGAGTCGCTAGTTTTAAATATTCCGATATTACGCTGGTGAGTGTCATAAGTTTCAGTGTACTTTTTTATGCTATATATCTACTGTTTAGCTAGTCAGTTGACCAATAAACAATGTGAATTTTCAGTGTTTTTTTTTTGGGAAGTTGGTCGAGTTCCATTTCTTGGAGATCACGTAACTGATGACATAAAATCAACAGTATGTTGTTTAAAGGACTACTAAAGTAAACTTTAAAAGGAATGTGCGCTTTTATTAAGTGCATGAGAGAAATTATGGATTACTCTTCTATGGTGCACTATCCTACTAAAATTATAAATGTGAAAGTTTGTGAGGATAGATGGATGGATGTTTGTTTCTCAATCACGCCAGAACGATTGAACGGATCTGGATGAAATATGGCACAGAGATAGATTATAGTCTGGAATAGCACATAGCTTACCTTTTATCCCAGAAAAATGTACGGTCCCCGTGAGATAGATTTTTTTGTCTAGGAACGAACCCAAAGCGAAGTGAGATTGAGTCACTAGTAATTTATACTGTAAAGATTCTTTTCGCAATAAGATTGGCCGCATGATCGAACAATCGCATTATGACAAGGTTATAATCATGTAGAAAATTATATGTATGTGGAATTTCTATGAAATATTTAAAACCATGGTCTTATTTAAACAGGAAAAAGTAGGTATGTATTGGTTATTTTCGACCACTTTTGTATACATTTTATGGGATAATTTTACATATCCTCTCTAATAAATAAATATTACAATGCTACTTTTTCTTCTTCCAAATATATATTAAATTTTGAAAAAAAAGCAGTGGTAGACCAGTGGTATCACGCTCGCTTGTGAAACCAAGTGAAGCGGGTTCGAATCCCGGGTCTCGCACCTCTGATATTTTCATGCGCGATGATCCTACATGATTACCACTTGTCTTACGGCGACGGAAATCTTCGTGAAGAAACCTGCATGTCTGAGAGAACCTAGCAAGTTTTCGACAGACATGTGAAGTACGCCAATGCGCACTTGGTAAGCGTGGTGGAATATGGCCCGATCCCCCTCGTATTGAAGGGAGGCCCGTGCCCCGCAGTAAGACGTAAAAAAGGGCTGAATATATTCAGTACCGAGATAATCAGATTTGCTGGCTCCAGATGACTACAACAATCCTTTATTCAAATCAGATCTAATCAAAGTTATTCAGTAATAATAAAAATAATGGAATAAATATTACTTGTTTCCACTTTCCAGTGATTTAGTGCATGTTTAGTTAAAATTTAGGCAATTCTTGAATATAAGAAACTTAATTTATTATAAATACATAAATGATAAAAAGTAACCTACATGTTGTTCCAGGCTATAATTTATCTCTGTGCCAAATTTCGTCCAGATCCATTCAACCGTACTGGCATAAACAAGTAACAAACATCCATCCATCCTCACAAGCTTTCAGATTTATAATATTAGAGGATTTTAAAATTGCATGCCAATACAATTTAAAATTTAAAATTAATAATTGAAAAATGCTTCATGGCACTTAAATAAAATGAATTAAATTTAATATAAGTATAATAAATATTTAACTGGTAACATTTGTGGACTTATTCTTAGAAAGAACCGAATGAAAGAAACAGATGGATATTGCAAACATAATATAATTCTAAACAACAACTACAATTAGGCTACTTATGTGCGTTTACAACATTTAGGATTCTGTTGAAAACCTGACAAACTTATAATAATATTTAACTTTTTTAACTGTTATTATTAAAAACATAATGTCTGTTATTATTAAAAACACAATAATGTTTCATGTACATGAGAATTGTTTTCTTATAATAAAAAAAGATATGAATATTTTTTTTAAATGTACTATAATTATTATATTGATAGTTTGTCAGTTTTCGCAAGATATAGACCATGCCTGTTTCAACCATCCAACGACTGATCGGACACCGTCAGTCACATCTCCAGGAACATCTACACTGGTCGATTCTATTAAAGAACTCCATCGTGATCTGAGAGCTGCTTGGGCGGCAAATGAAGCCATTGTATGTATAGATTTCACTAAAACCATGGTTTTATTTACATGTTAAAATTGTAACTGTTTTGGTTTCTTTTCTAGTATAAATAATAATCTTTACAGAGTTGTAGTACATAAAAATAATATTTATAGATATCACAACACTCAAGGTCAATGACACTTTTTTCAGCAATTCAGTCCAGAAAAATTGTTATTACGAAACTTTACTAAAAAATGCGTCTTTTGGGGCCCAGTTCCATTAGATGTGAAAGTGAAAACTGATTTGAAATCTAAGTCCCGCAGTGCAGCAAGAATGCTTATACAGTAGCACTAACAGAGGTCAAACACCAAGTATTTTGGCACCTTTTTCAATGTCTCGATCACCACATATTATATATACTTAACTGACAGATAATATACAATATATAGTTATTTACATCTTCATTCCAAATAATGTATAATATTCCTTTCATCGTGTTTAAAATTTCGCGAAAGTGTATAATTTAACGTAATATATAAAAGAACTTACCGATCAGAGTGAAGTTTTATGTATTATATGTTGGTTTATATTTATCTAAAGGCTTTCCCATTTACAATGTTAAATAATTTGTATTATTTTTATAATATTTTTCGTTAGTTTGAATTCGCAAAGATAAGCACACCCACAAACGGAATATCTAAAACCTACTGACAGTAATTTGTCAAATTCGATCGGTTGTCAAAAATGCGTTTCATTTCATGGGAATTGCACACAAAAATATTAACCAAGGAATTAAAAAGAATAACATTAATATTTACGTTTTATAATTAGATAAAAACTTTAAAATTAACTTTGTAAAAATATATTGATTACCTGTCCTTATTATTGTTATAAAAAAAATTGCAAATGCATTATTTTTGGCATAATATTATGTTGTTTAAAGAAATTGCGGTAAACGGTGAGCTCAACACACTTGCCGAAGATTCTGTACTATCCTTTTTTATCCGACGGAATCTTTTTTTTATGTATGTTCACCGATTATTCGAAGACGCCTGAACCGATTTGGAAAATTCTTTTTTTGTGTCGAAGGGTATACTTCCCAGGTGGTCCCATTTAAATTTTATCGAAATTAGTCGAGCGGTTTTTTTTTAAATCAACAAATAAATATTTTTTTTAAATAAATTGCTTAATCGAACATGTTATTAAAAAACTTTCTTCTAACAAATTACCTGCTTATTACGGCAAATAAAAACAAAAAAAACCGACTTCTAGACACTAAAATTAAAATAAAATTTCGATACGTAAAATACCTATTAGATATTCATATCTTAAGATATTGTAGGCTGGCACCGACTTCGAAAATATCTGATTAGGTATCAATTCTAAATAATAACCTCCGTTTAGTTATTTTTTACATTTTAGTGTCTGGAAGTCGGTTTTTTTAAATGTTTTTATTTACATTTTAGTGCCTGGAAGTCGTTTTTTTTAAGTTTTTTTTTCTATTACGTTTATATTATAAGAAGTAAGTTGAAACTTCGAATATTTACAGGTAGTGCGTGTGTCTACTTCCAATGTTTGTTAGTTAAGCTTATGATGTTTGTTTAGGTAAAATCTAGCAAACTGAATAACCTAGTAGACAGTGGTTCAATTCCAATTAGAATTATTTTTTATGATAATTATGTTGTGTTTCTCCATTTTAGATTGACTCCAGACGAAGGAACTCATTAGCGGGCTACAGTGTGAACTTTAATGTATATAAGTTAGCTGTTGCATCCAGGGTTAGCTCCAAATAAGAGATCTCCTCAATTGTCAATGCATAGATGAGAAAATTTATATATGGATTTAATTATTATAATAAATTAATGTTCATCATGGCCTGACAGATGTAACCAAGATATGAGAGATCTCCTTATCAGTCAACAGCACAGACACGAAATTTTGTTTAATATAAATAAATGGACGGGCGTCCAGACGCATCTATAGGTACTTAGTAATATTTGATTTGGAATCTTAAAAATATTTATTTTTACATTAAGATATTATAATGGTTTTTTACATTAAATATATTATTGATATGGACCATAATAATAATTAATAGTACGTAATGACCTTCTGGACGATTCTTGATCACGACGAATTATCTCAACTCTACTTATACTTAACATGGAAAATGACAAAATCACAGCTCGGCTATGTTTATAATGAAATACAACAATACATGTAAAATAAAGATAAAAAATAGAGAAATATAAATTAACAAAAAAAAAAATACTTTTTTGCATTTCATTTATTATTTGATTAGTTAACAAAGTTAATAGCAATTAGTAATTACTATACTGTATTTGGTTAAGACTCGCAATGTTTATAATAATAATCGCCATTAACGTCATACCAATCAACTAATTTTTTGTTATACCACATAAAAGTGCCTTTTAAATTGGGGGATGCATCGAAAATTAGGTACATGATTGTTTTAGCGGCTTCGTTTGTATCTAATTCACCTCTACCTCGTGCCATATCAGTTTTGACACTTCCTGGATGGACAGCGTTAATAGAAACGTTCATACTGTCATATTTTCTTTGCTGTACCATCGTCAAAGCTGTCAAAGCGATTTTAGAAACTCTATGTTCAGCATGTTTACCTTGATCTGCGAAGTCATTTTTATTAAACGTCCCATTCTTCACACTCTCTAAATATTCGTTGACGAATTCGTTAATGTCTTCAGTTTTTAGGTCTTCTTTAGTTAATTTTTTAAGCCATTTTTCATTCCGTAAATTGGAAAGGTGTCCACACGCACTAGAAATGTTGACAACCCTAGCCCCAACATTGAGCAAAGGGTATAAAAACTCCTCAATATATAACAAGCTACGGTAATTTATATCAATGTTACGTTTTGCAGCTTCATAAGACGGATATACTTGGTCCCATTCCAAAATGGCTGCGTTGTTCACTAGAACGTCTATTCCATTATGTTCTGATTTAAGGAAATCTTCGAACTTTTTAATACTATCTTTGTTACTTACATCTAGGACATGAAATCTTGGTTTTAAGCCTAATTCATTTAGTTTTTTCACAGCTTCCAAGCCTCTAGATTCATCTCTTGCTGTTAAATACACGATCCCATTGAATTTTTTGCATAAACCTTTCACAATAGCGTACCCTAGACCCTTATTAGCGCCGGTTACAATAGCTATCTTACTTGACATTGTACCAACGTCTGTCTCCTTGCACTATTTAATATTGAATGTTGATATCATTAGTAACGTGATCATTGGTTATTTATAACATAATTCACTTTGTTAATAGCTGTTATTGTATTTTTTAATGATTATGCATTAAATATTAGTTGTTAATGTTTGTATGTGTGTATGTCTGATATATTATGTACCTATATTATTTTATAGGACCATATACTCCCTCATAGGATTTAAATATTTAGTAGTTTTTTAGGCAGATATACACGAAAAGTGTACGTATGTACTATATATTATATTAGATTTTTTGAAATTCACCCCTAAGCGGTTTGGAAGAGGGTGGTGACGTATATATAGAAAAAAAATGTTTATGATTAGAATTACATGAAACTTGATATTAATACTCTTCAATACAATTAAATAAACATGTATTTTTGAATTATTCAAAATTCAGCCCTTAAGGGGGTAAAAATGGGTGGTAAAGTTGGTAAGAAAATCCGCAATTATTATTGTTAAAATTAGGTATTCAAATCAAGATAAAAATTAAGGAATATCTACGTGTATCGACCCAGTTTATTATTCGAAATTCATCCCCAGAGAGGATAAAAATATTATCAGGGTATGTTAGTATTATAATTACACTCGATGCGCGAGTTAAAATTATACTGACACATTTGAAAATTATTACAGCCATCAAATTATAAGTTATATTATATATTATAAATCCAGGGGTTCTGTTTAGTTTGAACGCGGGCGAAGCCGCGGGCACTGCTAGTATTACTATAGTATTCTATGGTATTATGAACTGACAACTGTCAATTTATCTTATCAATACAATTTATAACTACCGGTAATAGAATCTGTGACCTTCGACTAAATATTATCTATGCTAAATTAGTTATGTCAAAACTTGTAAATTTATAAGCTAAATTCTAACTAGGTCTTGTTCACAATAAAGGTTTCTGTACTTAATAATGTTGACAACTAGACCTTTGGATAGTCAATATTTAGGTAAACATTTAGGTACATTTCAAAGTTAGTGCTAGTTAGGCACTTTTGCTTTACACTCTCAATTTCACTAAAAATTTAAACTGTTTATATAACCGCTCTAACTACTACATAATATGTACATGTATTTTAAAATTTTTCTTCTAATTCTAATTGCCTCTAATATTATAAGTTTTTTTAATTGAATCGCTGAAAAAAATATATTTGTATAAGTTAAATATCTTTCCCTGTGGTTTATAATGTTTTTAAAATTTATACTTCTACAAAAAACATTATCTACTTCTCTTTCTTTCTTTTCAGATTTTATTTAAAAAAGATTTATTCTTATCAGAATATATTTTGGGAATTGATCCCAAGCCGAAAGACTTTTCAGTTTAAGGTCTCGGTTACGTTCTTTAACCGGTTAAATCCGGGAAAATGGTATTTGACGAATTTAGGTTGCATGACCAAAATTAACCGTTTCAAATAAGTTTATATGCGTTTATATTTGTCGCGTCATTGCTAATGGTAAATGGCTTAGTAGAAGGATACTGCATGTATCGTTTTTTACTTATGAATGAATTAACCGGTCTATTTCGGTATCAGAACCGAACCTTTCTCTAAGAATAGCCGTTAAACATTATTATTTCGTTTTACTAAACCGTTCGCTTTTATTAACCGGTTAAAGATCGTGCGATGAATTAACCATTTCATTACCTACCGAAATAAACCGTTTTCCCTAAACCGGTTTCGAGCCCTCATTAGATCTAAACTTATCAATTACAATATATTATGCCGGAAAATAAGAAGTTCAAAATATAAATTATAAATAATTTTGATACAAAACAAACATGGAAGGTGCTGTACAAGACGTTATGCCTATCCTATAATACCTTGCCTTGAATAGCAGATTTGGTCAATTTTTATTGATTATTTTGTAAAGGTTCACAGCCCTATTATTGAATATTGTCAATGTAAAACAGTGCAATAGTAAAATGTCTAAAATTTTGAAGACATTAACAAGAGAATTCAATTGAAAATATCTAAAAAATATTTAATTCAATTCAATTTTCTTATTAATGCCTTTAAAGTGTACCAGTTGAGCATAACATTAATCTTAGTCCATACTGCCATTGCAGCTTGTAATTAAAAAAAAATACATAATCGTTTGTACAGTGTTTTATAAGTGTACAGACTAAAAATATTATTCCATAATATGAGTATAACTTATAGAACTTCAAAATGTTCCTCGTTCCGAGATATATAATATTTTTTAATTCCACAAAGTTTCGACCTAAACTACTTATATCATCACAGATTACCAAAACCGCGGTTTTTAAAAAAAATTGTAAGTGTGAAGTAAAAGTTTTGTAAACATTAATCAAATAAGTAATTTTTTTTAAATATTGTTATAGAAATCATTGATATTGTTCCAAGTTTTAATATTTAGATAAATTATAGAGATTTCTTAGAATAGAAATTTGGATTTGTATGAAATTTTTGATAGGTTTATGTACTGCTTATTGATTCCGTGGTATTCGAAATAACATCAAGTCAAAGATCTTTCATTTACCAGGACATTGATACCATCGTTCGTTGAACATTATTGAATTTACCACCACTTCGAAAAGGAAATGCCCCAGATTTAAGAATAACTGACGAGAGGAACTCAACGGGGCTATTAATCTATTGATCTTTTTACCCGACTGCGGTGAGTGTGAGATGAGTGTATGTATGTATGTGTGTGTGTGTGTGTGTGTGTGTGTGTGTGTGTGTGTGTGTGTGTGTGTGTGTGTGTGTGTGTGTGTGTGTGTGTGTGTGTGTGTGTGTGTGTGTGGTGTGTGTGTGTGTGTGTGTGTGTGTGTGTGTGTGTGTGTGTGTGTGTGTGTGTGGTGTGTGTGTGTGTGTGTGTGTTTGTGTGTGTGTGTGTGTGTGTGTGTGTGTGTGTGTGTGTGTGTGTGTGTGTGTGTGTGTGTGTGTGTGTGTGTGTGTGTGTGTGTGTGTGTGTGTGTGTGTGTGTGTGTGTGTGTGTGTGTGTGTGTGTGTGTGTGTGTGTGTGTGTGTGTGTGTGTGTGTGTGTGTGTGTGTGTGTGTGTGTGTGTGTGTGTGTGTGTGTGTGTGTGTGTGTGTGTGTGTGTGTGTGTGTGTGTGTGTGTGTGTGTGTGTGTGTGTGTGTGTGTGTGTGTGTGTGTGTGTGTGTGTGTGTGTGTGTGTGTGTGTGTGGTGTGTGTGTGTGTGTGTGTGTGTGTGTGTGTGTGTGTGTGTGTGTGTGTGTGTGTGTGTGTGTGTGTGTGTGTGTGTGTGTGTGTGTGTGTGTGTGTGTGTGTGTGTGTGTGTGGTGTGTGTGTGTGTGTGTGTGTGTGTGTGTGTGTGTGTGTGTGTGTGTGTGTGTGTGTGTGTTGTGTGTGTGTGTGTGGTGTGTGTGTGTGTGGTGTGTGTGTGTGTGTGTGTGTGTGTGTGTGTGTGTGTGTGTGTGTGTGTGTGTGTGTGTGTGTGTGTGTGTGTGTGTGTGTGTGTGTGTGTGTGTGTGTGTGTGGTGTGTGTGTGTGTGTGTGTGTGTGTGTGTGTGTGTGTGTGTGTGTGTGTGTGTGTGTGTGTGTGTGTGTGTGTGTGTGTGTGTGTGTGTGTGTGTGTGTGTGTGTGTGTGTGTGTGTGTGTGTGTGTGTGTGTGTGTGTGTGTGTGTGTGTGTGTGTGTGTGGTGTGTGTGTGGTGTGTGTGTGGTGTGTGTGGTGTGTGTGTGTGTGTGTGTGTGTGTGTGTGTGTTGTGTGTGTGTGTGGTGTGTGTGTGTGTGTGTGTGTGTGTGTGTGTGTTGTGTGTGTGTGTGTGTGTGTGTGTGTGTGTGTGTGTGGTGTGTGTGTGTGTGTGTGTGTGTGTGTGTGTGTGTGTGTGTGTGTGTGTGTGTGGTGTGTGTGTGTGTGTGTGTGTGTGTGTGTGTGTGTGTGTGTGTGTGTGTGTGTGTGGTGTGTGTGTGTGTGTGTGTGTGTGTGTGTGTGTGTGTGTGTGTGTGTGTGTGTGTGTGTGTGTGTGTGTGTGTGTGTGTGTGTGTGTGTGTGTGTGTGTGTGTGTGTGGTGTGTGTGTGTGTGTGTGTGTGTGTGTGTGTGTGTGTGTGTGTGTGTGTGGTGTGTGTGTGTGTGTGTGTGTGTGTGTGTGTGTGTGTGTGTGTGTGTGGTGTGTGTGTGTGTGTGTGTGTGTGTGTGTGTGTGTGTGTGTGTGTGTGTGTGTGTGTGTGTGGTGTGTGTGTGTGTGTGTGTGTGTGTGTGTGTGTGTGTGTGTGTGTGTGTGTGTGTGTGTGTGTGTGTGTGTGTGTGTGTGTGTGTGTGTGTGTGTGTGTGTGTGTGTGTGTGTGTGTGTGTGTGTGTGGTGTGGTGTGTGTGTGTGTGTGTGTGTGTGTGTGTGTGTGTGTGTGTGGTGTGTGTGTGTGTTGTGTGTGTGTGTGTGTGTGTGTGTGTGTGTGTGTGTGTGTGTGTGTGTGTGTGTGTGTGTGTGTGTGTGTGTGTGTGTGTGTGTGTGTGTGTGTGTGTGTGGTGTGTGTGTGTGTGTGTGTGGTGTGTGTGTGTGTGTGTGTGTGTGTGTGTGTGTGTGTGGTGTGTGTGGTGTGTGTGTGTGTGTGTGTGTGTGGTGTGTGTGTGTGTGTGTGTGTGTGTGTGTGTGTGGTGTGTGTGTGTGTGTGTGTGTGTGTGTGGTGTGTGTGTGTGTGTGTGGTGTGTGTGTGTGTGTGTGTGTGTGTGTGTGTGTGTGTGTGTGTGTGTGTGTGTGTGTGTGTGTGTGTGTGTGTGTGTGTGTGTGGTGTGTGTGTGTGTGTGTGTGTGTGTGTGTGTGTGTGTGTGTGTGTGTGTGTGTGTGTGTGTGTGTTGTGTGTGTGTGTGTGTGTGTGTGTGTGTGTGTGTGTGTGTGTGTGTGTGTGTGTGTGTGTGTGTGTGTGTGTGTGTGTGTGTGTGTGTGTGTGTGTGTGTGTGTGTGTGTGTGTGTGTGTGTGTGTGTGTGTGTGTGTGTGTGTGTGTGTGTGTGTGTGTGTGTGTGTG